ATTACTTGTACATAAACACACTCTAGTGCATATATGTTTTTTTTTTTTTTTTTTTTTTTTTTTTTTTTTGAATTACACTTTTTTAATATGTATTTTTTTTTTTTTTTTAAAATACTGATAATAACTTATTTGCAATTATGAGTGTTTAATTTTCCTCCTTTTATATTAGCTTAAAAAATGTTATAAAAATAATTATTAGTAAGCTCTTATATATATATAAAGTATATAAGTAGGTATGAAATCTGCACACACATATATATTTATATATATTTATTTTAGATATATGTTTAAAAATATTAAAATATATATCTTAATTTTCTACAAATATTATGGATTATACAATAATTTTTTTGGTATTATTTTTTTTCAAAAATAATTTTTATGGTTTTTTATATTTTAAAATTTTTATTAAAATATTTAAAAAATCATATATTTTTTTACACATATGAAAAAAACTTATTTTTGAAGTTCATTAATAATTCTTTTACCAAGCCAATTATTAATCTTAACAAAAAAAAAATTTACGTTACATACTTAAAACTTTTTTTTTTAAGTTTTCTTTTGAATTTTAATAGGAAATGGAATATATAAATATTTTTTTTTTTTTTTTTTTAATATTTATAATTAAAATTTTATCTAATGGAATTCCCAATACTAAAAAATGCCATACGCTCTAATAGTTTTTTTTTATTATTTATTGTGTTTTTATTTTTCTTAAAAATAGTAAAATGGTGCATTGGTAAAGTTTATTTCATTTCATAATTTTCTAGAAATACAATAAAAAAATAAGAACTTCATCAATAACAAAAAAAAATTTTTTTTCTCATATTTTTAGTAATAAAATAATAGAATTATTAACTCAATATATTATTTATTAAATATTTTTTATCTTTCAGAACAAGAAAATGTCTAGTTTATTTTCTTATTTTTGTTCAATATTATCTATATAAATCAATAATTGTCATAATCTCAAATAATTCAATTTTTTTTTTTTTTTTTTAAACTATATTAAAATGTAATTTAAAAAAATATGTGCATATTTTTATAAATATATTTAATTTAAATATTAGCATAAACTTTCATGAATAAATTTAATTACATATATATATATAATGTATTGAAGCATTAAAAAAAACAACTAATATATTCTTTACTTTTATATATCTTATAACATATATTAAGTAAAAATTGTCTTATATATATAATTATTTTAAATATTCAAAATGTAATATCTTGATTTAAAAGTATATGAATACAATAATAAAAAAAAAAAAAGGAAATGAAAAGCTCCCCAAAAAAATTATAAATGTGTTGAAATATAAAAAATTCACTTCTTCTGGATTCATTAATTTAATCATGCTAGTTTTTGGTAAATTCATATTTTTACCGTCAATTTTTTTATATTTTTATTTTAAACTATTATTTTTAATAATTCCTTTAATTTATAAAAACGTTTTTACTATTTTTCAATTAAAGAGAAACTATGGATGCTAATCACAATATTGTCATATTCTATATATTTTAAAATTAATACGTAAAAGTATTTCAATAATATATATTTTGTGTCTGTATCTAATCAAAAAAAAAAAATCAGAAGTAAAAATCAAAAGAAAAATTTTTAAATTAGTTTTAATACATATATTTTAAGAATTTAATATATTTTTATTCTTTAAAAAAAGTCTATTTTTAAAGGAACACAAACAGATTTACATCTCTATTTATTAAAATAAACTGTTTCATTTAAAAATAAAATGTAATTAAAAAAAAAAAAAAAATAAATGAAATGTATAATTTTATTTTTCTTGATAAAAAAATATTAATAATTCATTGAGATTTTTTATAATTTTTTTTTTGGTTTTTATATTTTTTTTTTTTTTTTTTTAAAAAAAGAAAAAAAATATTTCAAAAACTTATTTCTTTGTAAAAATATTTTTTAGTATTATTCTTCCATTTTTCTTGTTAAAATAAATGTTTCATAAAAATATGTTTACATTTTTTATTTTTCCAAGAAATATAAACTTAAATTTTTTTTATTTTAATTCTGTAAGATGTTAAAAGGAGGAAGAAAATGTCATTAAAAGAAAATTGCAGAGAAAGAATTTTTAATGTAATAACGAAAATAACAGAAAAAAGTAAATATGTTATTATGATTGTAGATAACAATGCTTATAAAATATTATCAATGATATGCAAAAATGAAGAATTATTAGAAAAAGGAGTTTCTCTAATTGAATTAATTGATACGGCAAGAAGTAGTTTACAAGATTTTGACTGTATATATTTTATAAGTTCAGATATTCAAACAGTAGATTTCATGTTAAATGATTTTAAAAATGAAAAAGATGCAAAATATAAAAATATTCATATATTATTTACCTCAAATATAGGAAAAAATAGTAAAATAATTGATTTAATAGCTAATAATGATTTTATATTAAAAAGAATAAAAAGTTGTGCATGTATAAATTTAAATTTTTTAGCTTATGAAAGTAGAATTTTTTATTTTGAAAATAATTTAAATTTATATGATTATTATCCTTTAAAAAATTCAGATATTTTATTTGAACTATCATCTAAATTACTATCTGTGTGTTCATGTTTAAAAATATCTCCTTACATACGTTATCAAAATTCTGAACTATGCAGGAAATTTTCAGAAGTATTCTACAATAGCTTAAATAATATGGATAAACTACAAAATAATAATAGTAATGATGATTTAATATTAATTTTAGATAGATCAATTGACTGCTCTATTTTATTTATACATGAATATTCATATCAAAGTTTATGTTATGATATATTAAAGATTCGAGTATCATATGAAGAAGATGAGGAAGCACATACACTCTCTTTTGAAATTACAAATAATGATCAGAAAAAAGAAGAGAAAAAAGCTATTTTATCAGAAGATGATGAATTATGGCTAAAATATAGGCATTATCATATACAAGATGTTAATGAGATTATAAAAAATGAAATTTCTTCTTTTGCTGAACAAAATGCAGTAGCAAAGATTCAAAAAAAAAATTTTTTAAATCCATCTGAAGCGTTGGATGCATTAAGATCACTACCTCAATATGAAAGCATGATTGAGAGATATTGGTTACATGTGTATTTATGTAATAACTGCTTCAAAATTTTACAAAAAAAAAATATAGTAGATATTGGATTAATAGAACAAGATATTTGTTGTAATGTAGACAAATATGGGAAAGAACTTAATTATAGTAAGAATGTAGCTAGTGTAAATTCTATCATTACTAGTGCTGATTATGACCAAGAAGAAAAAGCAAGGATATTATTATTGTATTTTATTAATTATGTAAATATAAATGAATATGATAAAATAAGAATGATTGAATCTGCACAATTAGGTTTATTTATGCAAAAAATGATAAATGAATTTTTAAAATTAAAGTTACATTTAAATTATATGTATATTGATGAAAATCCGTCATCATCTAATAAAGTTCATCATGTGTTAGATAAAAATAGAAAAAAAATTAAATATTATAAAAATATAGCTAAAAACTCCAAATATGAACTAACTAGACATGAACCAAATATAAAAGATTTAATTTTACAAATATACACCAACACTTTGCACAAAGGTCAGTTTCCATTTGTTGATGAGATTAAATCTCAGAATATCAACAAAGTACCTCCCTCCTCAGAACAAAAGCAAAATGTATCAAGAGGAACAATATGGGAGTTTAAAACAGAAACAAAAAAGTTATTAAAAGATGAAAAAAAAAAGAAAATTATTATTTTCATAATTGGTGGAATAACATATCCAGAAATAAGGCATATATATGAATTATCAGAACAACTAGATCTAGACATTTATTTAGGTGGGACAGCATTATTAACAAGCAATATACTTTTTAACCAATTTAAAAAGTTGTCTAATTTTTAAATTTAACACGAATTGTTTTTAATAATTACTTTTAGTTATAATTTTTAAATTCTTTTTTTTTTTTTTTTTTTTTTTTTTTTTTTTTTTTTTTTTTTTTTTTTTTTTTTTTGAGTTATATATTTAGTTAATTTTAATAGCATTAACTACATATATATATATATATATATATATTATATTATATCTTTATTAATTAACAAGATAGAGTAAAATATGTTTAAATAAAATATAATACAAAAAATTTAAGTTCTATAATTAATATATTTTTGTTTTTATGTGTGTAGTATAATTGTCACTTTTTTTAATAGCACATTATTACCTTATTATTCTGAATATATATATATATAGGTGTGAATATATTTTTATTCATATGTTTATTTCATAATTTATGAATTTATATATATAGTAAAAAATAATATTTACTTTTACTTTTTTTTATTTCATATATTTATATATATATATATATATAAAATGATTTCCTATTTTTTTAACATTTATTATATATACATAAATATAATTCCTTTTTTTTCTGTATTTAAATATCCTTTAAAATAAGATGATTATGGAAAAAGAATATTTTTAAATGTGTAAAGGCATACTTTTTTGTCATAAAAGTTAAAAATCTTTTGGTATTTTTGTTTTTTTTTAATAAATTATAATTCTAAGAAAGAAATAACTCTGTTAAAACATAAAAAAAAAAAAAAAAATTGTTTTATTAAACTACAGAATTTGAGTATTATATATAGAAGTGTATGATTAAAAAATATATATAAAAATTATTCTTAAAAAATGTTACCAGTTAGAAAATTTTTTTTTATTATTATTTAATAATAAAAGATATATTTGTAGATAAGAACAGTAATATGAAAAATATATGTACATACATGTTAATTATGAAAAAAAAAATATAAAAAATAGAATGTATTATTAAATCTCATTTTTATTCATTCCTTTTACACCTAAGAAAATGTTTTTAGTTATATATATAAATATTATAATACATAAAATTAGAAATTATTTTTTTTTTTTTTTTTTTCAACTTGGTATATTTGCTTAACCTTATGCTTTAGTTAATTTTTTTTAATTATTCATTTTTATCTGCTAATTTTTTTATATTATTAATATTTCTTTCTTGTTTAAATAACTTTATCCATTGATTAAGCTTTTTGTTCACATAATCAAGCTGTTCATTTTTTTCATTTTTTGCATATATACTATTATTTCTATATTCTATTTTTTCTTTTATTAAATAAATAGAGTTATTCCATTCTTTTAAAATGCCATAATTAAAATTAATTTGTCTTAAAGAATTTACATTTTTATTATTATTTGTGTCTTTTGACAAAAATTCAAATGGTATTAAACAAAATGGATTATAATTTATATCATAAATTTTCAAATAATTCTTTGTTTTTATATGATTACCAACATAAATATAATGAAAGCTATTTATAATTTCCGACTTTTTACTTTTTGAAATTTCTAATATTAATTCATAGTTGTTCCTTCTAATAAGTTTACATAATTCTAAATTACTTTTTTCGTCCTCATGGAAATTCATATCTTCAAAAAATGCTAAAAAACAATTAGAATTTAAATCAGACGACTTCAATATATTAAGAAAATATTCTCTATCATAAATTTTGCAATAATGTTTAAAAATAATATCATTTTTATATACATTATTATTCTTCAAATAAAAAAGAACACAAAAAAAAAGTTTCCATTCTACATTCTTTATAAAAATAAAAGTGTATCCTTTTTTTATTATTTTTATATCATTTATGTCTATATTGCATATTCTTCCATTAATACTTTTTTTCATATTATTCTTTATTTCTTCTAAATGTATTTCTTCAAAATTGTGATTATTTCTAATTTCTTTTATATGATTATATTCTTTATTATTTTTGAATATGCTAAAAAATATATAATTTAATTTATCTATAAATTTTTTTTTTTGAAAAAATGTTATTTTTTGTTCATCACTAAAAAAGGAATGTAAAGTACACATTTTATTATCAGTCTTATTTCTCCCATTATTTCTCAAATGGTCTCCCTCATTTTCCTTTTTTAAAAAATTGTTAATTTTAACTTTTTTATTATTTATTATATTAGTAATTTCATTTGATAAATTTAAAGTATTATCTGAAATTGTGCTTTTAATTTTTTTTATTTTTATATTAGAAAATAACCTCTTAATTTTGTTTATCTTCATAGAAATCTTACTAAAAAAATTCATATAAATATCATATACATTTAATACCATAATATCCTCTTTTTTATCATTATATGTAATACTGTTAATTTTGATTTTTTCATTTTCTATATTTTCATTTTTTATACATATATCATAAATATATATATATTCAGAACCATCAAAATCTATGCATACCTTATATGTTTGTTCTAATATATCTTTTAAATAGTTAAAATTATCATTTTTGTTATTTATCTGCTTGTTATTTTCAATTATTATTTTTTTATTGTCTACATTAGTCAAAATATTTTCTAAATAATTGTTCTCTTTTTTTATGTATTTATTTTGGTTTTCCTCTATTTGTATATTAAATTCATTTGCATTATATATTAAATTATTCTTAATGTTGCTATCGTTGATCTCTGTATTTATGAGAAAATACTCATTATCATTATGTTTTTCATCTTTTAGTTTATTATCTCTATATATATTATCTATGCTATTTTTCTCATTTATATTTTTTTCATTATTCAAATCATTTGTAATTTGTGCATTTGTTAAATTATTTATATCACTTATATTTTTTTCATTGTTAAAATTATTATTACTGTTCACATTTTGCTCTTTATTACTATCATTTACATTTTGTTCATGATTCACAACATTTTTCGTCTTTTGATTATTTATATCATTTATTTTTTTTTCATTCTTCAGTGTATTTATATCATTATCATTTGTTTCCTTATTTAGGTTACTTTGATCACACTTCTTTTGATTACACATATACGAGCAAATTGTTTCAATACTTGATATACTTGCCTTATCGTTCTTTAAATTATTATCTGAATTCTTAATAATATTTTGATAGTTATCTAATAAAAAAGAAAAACAAATTGTATATATAATTACAAATAACTTTTTATGAATATATATTCTATATTCTAATTATTAATAATATATGAATTTAAGTTAGAAAATATAAAAATAATAACACTCAATATGTTCTATTAAATTTCTAATAAATATATATATATATATATGAAAATAAATATAAATGTTTACAAATATAAGATGATATAAAATTTTATTGCATATTTATCTAGTAATTAAAAAAATCTACAAATTTTAATATATACTAATATTATTAAAATAAAATAAAATAAAATAATTGTTCTTATATTATAAATTATTTGAATATAATAGAAAATACATAGTTATTAATTTTTTTTTAAACTTAATATTATATATTAGTATAATTTTTTTTTTTGTGAATTAATCTTTCACACTATTCTATTGTATATGATAAATGTAGCATATTTAAAAATTTTATTTTAATAAAATTTTTCCTTTTTGTCTTTATGAAAATGTTAAGCATAAATTAAAATTATTTTCCATATTCAATTATTTTTATTATTTTTTTTCTTTATTCTTAAATGTTATAACATTGGTTTAATTACTGTATTTCAAGATTTTTTTAAAATTACACAAATACATATATATATATATATATATATATATATATATATATATATATATATATATATATATATATATATATATATATAAATATATATATATAAATATATGTATATATAAATATATGTATATATAAATATATGTATATTTACACCATATGCATATTGTGCACTATATATTTTTTAATTTAAGATAGTATTTTATTATTCTATTTATATTATTATTTCATTTTTTTTTTTTTTTTTTTAACTTATATATAAATGTTATTTTTTTTATAAACACATTTACATATTTTTTTAAACTATATGAACTTTATAAAATAAGTATAACCTTATATATTTAATTTATATTTTACAAATATTTAAATATGTACATATTATTAATTACATATATAAAAAAATACTTAAAATTTTTATTTTACTCATTTTTTTCTTTATTTCATGGGGATGTGTTTCTCTTAGTTTTCTTGTATGTTTTTCGAAATTTATAAATAGCATTTCATCCATTTTTTTTAGAAAAATAAAAAAAAAATAATATAAAATAAAATATAATATAAAATAAGTACCTCTATAACATATAATAAAATCAATTAATAATATATCATAAATATTTAAATATATATTTATTTAAAATATAATCAAAAATTAATATTTTGAAAGATTCTATTAAACACACACAAAATTAATGTGAAGATAAAGTGAACACACATGCACAATTCTTTAAAGAAAAAAAGTGAAAATAAAAAAAGAAAAGTTAAAAAAGAAAAAAATAATAAATGTAGATATATTGGAAATTGTTAAATTTTCCATTTGTTATGTTATAGATTTATTTTTTTACTATTTGCCTTTTTTTTTCTCCACCCTTCTTTTTATATATATATTTATATATATAAAATAATGTCGTAATTTTAGATTAAAAAATTTTCTAACTTTAAATCTTTTATGGAAAATTAATTTAAAAAAAATTAAATATATTAATTTCACTTACAATTTGCATAAAAAAAATTAGGAAAAGTAAATAGATAATCTAAAGCAACATAGAACCAAATTTTTTGAAAACTAAAAATACAACTCAATCTATATTCAAAGAATCATTTTTGTACTAATATATATATATATATATATATTATAAAAATTTATATTTTTTTTTTTAAAATTGTCATTTAAGTATAAATTATTTACCCTAATGTTATATATTAAAAAAAAGGAAATTACGAAAAAAAAAAGTATATATCAATTTTTTGAAAAAATTTTACCACAAACATAATTTGCCTTAGAAATTTTATAATTAAAATACTATATATATATATATATAAATTATTTTTAGAATATATATTTGAAAGAATATTTATAAGATAAAACTTTTATTATATTACTTATATATAAAAAAAAAAAAAAAAAAAATTTCCGTTATTTATTCTTCTGTTTCCTTATTAACTCTTTATATATTATCTTTAAATAAAATATTTAATATATCCTTTTTGATTTAAATCAAATAACAAATAAAATACAAATTTTTTTCACATAATTTTTATATTAAATTTATTTGATATCTTTATTTGATTCTATAAATATTATAGGAAATATAAATTTATATTCCATTATTATTTTTTATTATTAGTTGCTAAAATTAAATATCTTTAAAAAAAAATATCAGTTTTTTAAAATAATAGAAAACACATAAGAAATGTAAAAAAATTTTATATAAATCATAAAAATAGGTATTATTTTTATAAAGGTTTCTGTATTTCTTTTACCTAATGTATATTTTAAAAGTTGCTTAATACAAAAAAAAAAAAAAAAAAAAATAAAATAAAATTTCATTGAATAAAATTGATATAACTTAGAAAAAGTGCAAAAACACGTTCTTATTTTATTTTATTTTATTTTTTTTTTTTTTTTGAAAGATTATATTTTAAAAAATTGTAATTCTTGTAAAATTCTTTAATTGAAGTTCTTAATGAATTATATATAACATTTAACATAGTGTAACATATGATTTCACATTAGGTATATTTTTTTTGTATAAGTAGCAATATAACACTTAATTCTCCCCAATTTTTTTTTTTTTTTTTTTTTTTTTACATTTGATTATTTTTTATTTGTTTGGTACAACATGAACATAAGTTTTATTTAAACATTTTTATATAGAAATTTTTTTTTTTTTTTTTTTTTTTATCATATATTTTAAAATGGATTCTTTGTCATTTAATATAAAAGTACCCTTAATTGAAAAGGCGGCATCCAATGTTAAAGAGATAATATCTCACATAAAATTAAACGATGGAATATATTTTGATAAAAGTAAATTTGATATTAATGAAATTATAAAAAATCTCGAAAACAACAATGTTTATAAGAAAATTGAAGCTATGAAACATATATTAATTGCACATATTTTAAAAAAAAATGTATCTAGTCTGTTCTTTGATGTTTTAAAAAATATATCTATCGATAATTTAACTTTAAAAAAATTAATTTATAATTATTTAATACTATATGCAGAAGGAAATAATGATTTAACTATGTTATCCGTTAATTCATTTAAAAAGGATCTAAATAATAATGATTATCAAATAAGATCATCAGCTTTAAAAGCAATGTCATGTATTAAATCAATAGATATGATTAATATTTTGATGGAATCGTTAAAAAAATTGTCAAAAGATAAATCACCTTATGTTAGAAAAACTTGTGCTGACGTGATTCCATCCATATATAATATTGATAAAGATCAATTTATTTTTTTAAGAAAAATTTTAATTGATTTAATAAATGATAGAGAAGTATCAGTTGTATCATCAGCTATTATGTCATTTAACTGCATTTGTATATACGACTACTCTGAAGAAAACGAAGAAGATATTTGTAATGAAGAAACAAATGAACATTATTACAAAGAAGATGAAAATTATCCAACTAATGAAAATCATCAAAAAAATAAAAATTATACCGATAAAATTGATAATGAAAGTTCACATGAGTCTAACAAGAATTTACACGAACAAATACCAAATAATAACTATAATAACTTATGCACTAATAAAATAGAAAGTATTCATATTGATTCTCAAAAAAAAAATGAAAATAAAAATACATATTCTAATATAAAACGCCGTGATTTTAACAATAATTTAAATATATTTAATTCTTTATCTTTCTTACACCCGTGTTATTATAAATTGTGTCAATATTTATTATATATGCATCCGTTTCATCAAACATATTTGATTGACTTATTACTTAGATATTGTAGAACATTTTACAAAGATCCATTAAAAAATGATAAGTTGAAATTAAAAAAAAATAACTTATTCAATGAAAATTCTTTTTGTACTGAAAATGATATTAAAAAAAAAAAAAAAAAATACCAAGATTCTGATAGCGAAATAAGAAGTAATGATCCATCTTACTTAAATAACAATGACACATACGAAGAATTTAAAAAATATGATATAGATATTGAAATATTTATAGATAAATTGTTAATTTTGCTAACATCTAGTAGTTATAGTGTAATAATCATGTCTATTTCTTCTCTTTATCATTTAACAAAACTTACGTATAAAGATAACATTATTCAAGCAATTATAAATTCCTTATTGAGAAGTAGTATGGAGAAAAACGATGAAATTTATGAAATTTTTTTGAGAAGCGTGAAACCTATAATAGTTGCTTTAAAAAAAGAATTTTCTTTTTATTTATCTTTTTTTTATATTAACTGTATAGACAGTGGGATCAAGAAATCTTTAAAAATTGATATTTTAACTGCTTTAAAAAGTTCAGATAACAAGATGGTCATATTAGATGAATTTCTCCATGCCTTATATTTACCCAATAATAGTGAAAACATAATTAAAAAATTGTTTTCTCATATTACTGCTATAGCATTAACAAACGCAGATTGTCTATCAAAAGTAATGAAATATATAATGATCATGTTGAATTCAAATATTAAACTTTATTCAGATGAGTCAATTTTAGCTTTAAGACAGCTGTTACAACAAAGTGATGATAACCAAATCGGCAAAATTGTATTTTTCTTAAGTAAAATCTTACTAAAAATTCAATCAAATCAAGTAAAAATATCAGTAATATGGACTTTAGCAAATTATCAAAGATTTTTAGATTATTTATTGTTATTTGATATTTCTAGGTTATTAGTTAAATCATTTGAAAATTCTAGTGATGTCATAAAAATACAAATCATTCATTTTGTTTTTAAAATATGGTTGTATCAGTATGCAAGATTTTTTTTATCAATGGATATAGATTCATTTATGTTAGATGAAAAAATATCCAAAAAAAAATGTGAGATAAAAAATAATAATTTTATCCAATCAAATTACCCAGATAATAGAGATCTAGAAAAGAAGGTTAATCCACCTTATTTATGTGACAAAGAACAAATAACCTTTGATGAAAAGAATGAAGCATATAATGATTACGAAAGTAATATCAATGAAAATAATGAAAGCAATAAAAGTGAAAGCAACAGTGATTTAAATGATATGAATAAAAATCAAAAAACGTTTAGTGATAATTTATCTAAATCAAAATTCAAAGAAGATTTTATGAACTTTGAAATATTATGTAAAAAGGCCTTTTTATTAGGAATAAAAGATGAAAATTTCGATATTCAAGATACAAGTAAATTTTACATTAACATTATGTTAATAATAAAAGAGCAGTATTTACAAAAAAAGCTTAAACCAAATATTTTTGAAAGAGATTTTTTTAATGAAAAAATAGACAAATATTCCTTGTCATTATGTTATTTAAAATTTACTTTTCTTTATTCTGGTAAATTAATCGTTTCTAATTCTTTAAATATAAATTTGAAGAATCATCCACTAAAAAATGGGATTTTTTTGCAACCTGACTGTGAGGAGCGTTTAGACAATTTCAACAAAAACGAAGCTCAAATTGTATATCAGTTAAATACAGTATCAAATATTTTAAATAAAAAAATTTCATCATATGTTGATTTACCAGAATTTGCAGAAAATGATTTACCAAAAACTGAGCATTTTAACAATAATGAAAAAAAAAAGTATATAACTAGTTTTTCCTCAAAGGACATAAAGTTCAACAATAATTTTGACAATCCAATTAGTCTTCAAACATTTTCAAATATTGACGATTTTTACAAAGAAGAAAATTTAAATGTGGAAAAACAGAAAGAAAGCACAAAATTAACTTCAAAAACATTACTAATCAACAAAGGAACAAAAATTCAAGGAGAAGATGAAGAATCTGATGAAGAAAATGAAAATTGTCATGAAAAATTTGAAAATTATAATTTAAATATAAAAAGTGATAAAACGACTGTAAAGGAAATTGAAGACATTGAACAATTTTTTTTCAATGATTAAAATTATGAACAGACAATATAAAAAAAAATTAATTATCCTTGTATTTGTTATGAACATTCATAAAAATCAATATTAAAAAATAAACTGATAAATAAATAAATTATTAAGGAATTTATGAATATATAAAAAAAAATTGTTTTTATTTTATTGTTTGTGTATGTGTGTGTGAACACCCCGAAGAAGAAAATTATTTTTTAATTACATAATTTTGTTTTCTCCAATTTTTTAAATTATAAAAATTTGTTTACATAGTTATCATATATAAATGTTATATTTTTTTTTATTGATATTAACTAAATTACAAATATAATTTGGGAATTTTATTTAAATAAGAATGTATCATGCTTTATCCATTACTCTTTAAATACTAAAAGAAAATGATAATAATAATAATAACAAATAAATTTTAATAAAATGAAGAAAAATATATAAAAACAAAATAAAAGACAAAAAAAAAATCTATTTGAATATTACAACATTTACATATAATTAATATATAAAAGATAATAAAGACAAATTAAATTATAATTTTATATAAAATATTTTTCCTTTAAATCTTTTTTTTACAATTTTTTAACATTAAAATATAAAAGATATATAAACATTGGAATTTTTTTACACAATTTAAATTTATTTTATTTGATATATTTTATTTTATTTATGTTTTTTTTTTTTTTTTTTTTAATTTTGATTTTAATAATTTTTAAAAAGAAGTTTTAATAAAAATATATAAAAAATTTACCACAAAAACTACAAAAAAATATTATTTTTTTTTAAGAATATATCTAATAAAACCTACATAAAATTTACATATATTAATATATAAGTATACCAAAATTTCAATTTATTTTTAATATAACCTTTTATAAAATATTTTATAAATTTTCCCTATTTATATGTATTATGTGTATGCTCACATTATTACAACAACAATCCCACTGCTCTTGCTCCTTCAGCTAATGCCTCAACTCTCCCTTCGTATTTATAATTAGCTCTATCAAATTTAACTTTAAAAATGCCTTTGTTTAAAGCCTTTTTTGCAACTATCTTTCCTATTTCCCAAGCAGCTTTTATGGTTTTTCCATTATTTATAATTCGATTTGTTGTTTTTTTTCTATATGTTCCTAAAATTTGCGATAAAGTTGAATCGTGAGAACATGAGAAACACAAAACATGCCTTTTATAATCATCTACAATAGTTGCATATATATGATTATTTGTTTTTTTTATTCTTAATCTTGGAACTCTTTTTCCTTCTAATATTTCTTTATCAACATTTTGACTTCCAGAATAATCTAAATTCACCTTAACTTTCTCTACTTTTTCTTTCAACAAAGTTTCCAAAATTTTCTAATAAAAATAAAAAATATGCATATATATGTATATACTTATTTATTTATTTTATATCTTTCTTTTTTGTAAACTGAATGTTGCTATATTAATTCATACATTTTTTTTTTTTTTCTCCTTAATATTTTTGTTTTTTCTTTTTGGTGCTTCTTCAATGGTATTTTTTTTTTTTTTTGATGAAGCAAGTAATAAAAAGTTATTATAATTATGAAAAATATTTCTGTTAATTATAAAACCTTCCAAAACACCTAAATAAACTAAAAATAGAGGAAATATTATAAAAGAAATGTACATATTAATGTTCCATTTAATTTTAAAAAAATATAAAATAAAGCTTTAAAGTTAAGAAATCATTAAAATTACAAAGACTTATTATAAACTTATTAAATTATGTTTTAAATTGATAAATTGCTAACTATAAAAACAATTTGTCCTAATTTTTATACATAATTATTTATAAAAAAAAAAAATACATACATAAATTTGTTAGTTAAATTATTACATGTTATTAGATATATTACAAATAATTATTTAAAACTTATGCAAAATAAAAAAAATGAATAATATTTATCATATTTTATATCGAATTTATTTTCTTCTTTTTTTTAATTATTTTGAAACTTAATATATTATGTTAAATTTAAGTACATTATACATGTAAGAATGATATTTTATTAAAAAGGCGGTATTCTTATCTCACAGAAAATAAGATATAATATTTTAACTTTATAAATTTAACTGAAAAGAAACACACAAATGTTTCTTTATTACTATTTTTTTTTTTTTTTTTTTTTGTAAAAGAAAATTATTCTGAAACGGAGTTATAAAATATTTACATAAAAATATTATTAAATTAAAAACGATAAAAAAGGGATAAATATGGATTTATAGAAGTAAATAAAATAAGTAAATATAAAATGACAATATAAATATAAATGAATAAAAAATTCTATAAGTTATATATTATTGAAGTATAAAAAAATAATGTAACTATATCAGTTTTTTTTTAAATTTAAAATTGTTCACTATTAATTTTTTGTTTACACCTAAAACTATATATTTATTAGTAGTTTTAATTTCATAATGTTCATTAATATATTAGCATTATATTTATAAATAAAAAAAAAATATACCTATTTTTGGATAAATGAAAGCATAAAAATTGGACGGAAATACTTTTATTTTATTAAAATTCCTTAAATTAACCCACATGAAATCTTGCATATGCATAAAAAAAAAAAATTATTGTTATAAGATATATTAAGATAATAACATATTAATGGTAATTAATTTTAATAGAAAAAATTTAATTGGAAATAATAATATTTAATATTTTATTTTTAAAGTCATAATGAAATATTTTACAAATATACATATGTATATATTTTCTATTATAATACTATAGCAATTCTAAAAAACAATATAAAACCCTCTTATAATGAGAACATTCCGTTCATTTCTATTGCTACTAAATATTATTTCATTTTTCCACAATAATTCTATTAGATTATTTCTTTCTTAATTTTCTTAACTTTTTTAAATATACATTTCATATTAATTTTTCTTTTTTTTTTTCATTTATTATTATAAAAATAATAAAAATTATAATTAAAATTTTAATAAAAATATTGTTTTTTTACTTTTTAATTTTCTTATTAACAAATTTTTTCAAAAATATTTCTTAAAAATATTTGAAATATTTTATGTAAAATATATAGACATTCAAATTAATTTATATGAATGCACCCATAATGCATAGATTATAAAGGAAAAAAAAAGAAAAAGAGATATAAACTATATTGTTTTGTGAATCTAAATCCAAAAAGAATTTGTTTAATTTATCTCATATAACTATTTTATTATAAAATTAACAAAATAATTAAAAATATAGGATAAAAAAAAGAATTATACTCTAGAATTTCCAATATTTTGGTTTTCATAATTTAAATTTTAGTTCACTTTCTTTCCTAATGTGTTTTTGTGTATATATGTAGAAATGAAAAAAATAATAAATCTTTTTATTATAAGATAAAAGATAAAGTATATTAATATATTTTCTTTTGATTTATTATTTTTGCATAGAAAAAAAGAACATATTTTTAATTTTCCTAAAAAGAAATAGTAGGAAATTTATACAGAGTAGATAGAAAAAAAAAAAAAAAAAAAGATGGAACAAAATGAAACAGATGAACCAACAAAAATTTTAATTAATGATAAAGAAATAGATAAGGATAAAAGACTCAATAAAATAGAATCATATATAAAAAATTTTTTCAATAATTTATTTAGCAAAAGTCCTTTAAATGATTCATTTCCATATAAGAACAAAGCTCTCGAAAATACATTCTGGTGCTCACAAACAGTAAAAATATAAAATTAAAAAAAAGAATAATATAAAAGAAAAAAAGTATAAATTATATAATTTTATTCATAAAAAAAAAAAAAAAAAAAAAAAAATCATAAGTTAACATTTCATGTATATTTATATATATAGATTTACATCAGAATAATTTTACTGTCATGCTTCTTTTCATTTGTTGTATCATGGAATCAGGTAAAATAATAAATAAAAAGTTTTATCTTTTGAAAAATTCTAAACAATACAGAATTAGTAATTTTTATACTAATAAAAAATATATATTAATTTTTTTTTTTTATTTTATTTATTGATATAAAGAATATAGCGTTAATAGGTGACGATGGGTTAACACCAGCAAAGGATTATGTTAATAAAATATTAGAAGATTTAAAAAATGAAAATATATGGACAAAAATTCAAAACTTTCATTCACTTTTTTTGTTTTTACCTGTCTGTAATTTCATTATAAATTTATTACCTGTTATAGGTATATAGTTAAAATATAAAAATAATTAATTTTAAATAAAAAAAAAAAAAAAAAAGTAATAATACAAAAAAAGTGTAATATTCTAAATATATTAACTATTTTAGTTATTACATTCAAATTTTTTCTATTTATGTTTACATTTTTAGGAATGATATTAAGTTTATCTGGCTTGTTTTTAAATTGTATAAATGTTATAATAATTTTATCAATTTATATTCTTTTACAATCTATTTATAGTATTGGAAATGTATGGTTTAATTATGTATATGAGCTAGAATTGTTAGAATTAGTTTTTTTATGTATGTTTCTTGTTCCTTTATATAAAAATCATTTAAAAAAAAAATATTCTGCCACATTCTTGATTCAATATATTGCAAGATTTTTTGTTTTTAAAGTTTTAATCGGATCAAGTTTAATAAGATTAAAAAATAGTGATTTATGGGGAAAGTTAGAAGGAAAATATTATATTTATGAAACGCATCCTCTTCCATCAACACTTTCTTATTTTTTGCATGCTTCTCCTCTTCTTAGTAAATTAGACAATTTATTTTCTATATTAACAGAATGTGTATTTTCTTTTTTTATATTGTTTCCAATTAGATCATTTAGACTAATAGGGGGTTCTATTATTTTTATTTATTGTCTTCTTAATTTTTTTACTGGAAATTCATATTTATTTTATTTTTTACTATTAGCTCCATTAATGTTTTGTTTTGATGATAATATTTTATTAAGATTTTTTTTTAAATGGAGAAGAAATGAAATACTTAATATAGTTAAAGAAAAATTAATAAATCAAAATAAAAGCAAGCGTTATTTTAAAAGTTTTAATATATTTTATTTTTCTGGAATGAATATAGAGGAATTAAGCAAAATGTATGATACTTATTTTAACTCTAACAAAGAAAAAAATACTTTAGTACAAGAAGAAGAATTAATATCCCGATCTGGTTCTAATGAAATTTGCTTTTATAAAAATGAAAGTATTTTTAAAAATATAAAAAATGACTTATGCAATATTTTCTACTGGATATATTCAAAAAATGGGTTACAATATTTTATAAGGAACAAAAATTTAACATTTGAAATAATATCTCATATAATTTGTTCATTAATTATAATTATTTATATTTGTATTACAACTATATATCCTATGACTACATTGTATTTTATTTTTTACCTACTAATATTTACCTTATATGCTTTTTATATATTTTTTTATACTGATAATATAATCTCTAAAGTTATCAGTCAGATTTCTTTATTAACTTCTCTATTATTAATTTATTCAAATCAAATATTTTTCTATGGATTTGTCAATATGTTTCATGTTTCTTTATTTTTTATTCATTTAATTTGTTTATTTATTTTATCCACCTTTTTCTTAAACAATAGAAGATTTATTTTCAAATTTACTGCACAATATTTTTATTTTATTTTATTTATTTATTTTTTGTCTTTTTTTATTCGAAATATTTTATCCCCTTATCAAGTTATGAATGCAGAATATGGATCATTTGAACTGATGAATGTATATGGATCATTTGGAAAAATAAAAAAAGCTAGAAATGAAATTATTATTCAAGGAACAGATGATAAAAATATAAATGAGAATACATTATGGAAAAATTATGAATTTAACTGCAAACCCGATAATGTATATAAAAGCATGTGTAATCAATTTAGATTTATATTTCATTTTATACCCATTATTTATATAGATAGATTAGATTGGCAGTTAAGTGCATTAAGTGATAAAGATAATGAAACAATTTTAGAAGTTCAGTGGTTTAAAAAATTTCTAACAAAGTTATCTATGAATGATAAAAATATCATCTCCTTATTATATAAAAATCCTTTCATGGAAAAAGAGATAAAACTTCCTTTCTATCTAAGAATTTTAAATAACGTATACAAATTTTCCGAAAAAGGTGAGAAACAATGGTGGGATGTCGTTTCATCTAAAGTCATAGTAGAACCTTATCATATTCCATTAATAGTAGACAACTTTACAAAAAAAAATAACGAAATGGATCATAAAAATTATATGATATCTAATGTTTTTCAACAAATCAATAGACAAAGTAATCACAACTTGAGAAAACATATGAAAAAACTTCAAAAGAAATATGAGAAAGAAAAAAAACTAAAAGAGAAAAAAATTGAAGAGCAGAGAAAAATTGAAGAACGAAAAAAAATTGAACAAAAAAAAAAATTAGAAGAACAGAGAAAAATTGAAGAAGAAAAAAAAAAATTAGAACAAAGAAAAATGGAGGAACAGAGAAAGATTGAAGAAGAAAAAAAAAAATTAGAACAAAGAAAAATGGAGGAACAGAGAAAAATTGAAGAACAAAAAAGAAAATTAGAACAAAGAGAAATGGAGGAACAGAAAAAGATTGAAGAACAAAGAAAAAAATTAGAAGAACAAAAAAAAATTGAAGAATATAATATATCTAAAAAAAAAAAATTTTTAGAGAAACAAAGAAAATTTCTAGAAGAAAAAGAACTTGAAGAACAAGAAAGAAATGATAAAGAAAGGAAAAAATTCGAAAAACAAAGAAAAATCGAAGAACAAAAAATATTCGAAGAACAAAGAAAAATTGAAGAAGAGAAAAAAAAATTAAGAGAACAGAAAAAAATCGATGAAGAGAGAAGAAAATTAGAAGAGCAAAAACAAATTAAAGAAAGGAAAAGAATTGAAGAAGAAAAGCAAAAATTAGAAGAAATGAAAAAAAATATCGAAGAAAAAAAAAAATTGGAACAAAAAAGTGAACAACAGAAAAATTATAATAAATCTGATGAAGAATTAGATGAAAGATTAAAAAATGAATTACTATCAGAAAATAATATAAACGTATCGACAATTCATAAATTAAACAATTCAAATAATTTACAACATATAAAAATACATGATGAAAACTTAAGTGACAACACAAAAAGAGAATTAAATAAATTAATAGACGAAAAATTAGACAATGAATTAAACGAAAAATTAAAAGAAGGTGAGCCTTCTAAAGAGTTAAAGAAAATAAATAATTACACGAAAAATGATAATGGAGAAATAATAGAATCAGAGGAAGAAGTGAATGAAGAAATAGATGAAGAGAAAATAAAAGAATCAGATAATGAAATTGAAGAAAAAAAAAAAGAAAATTTAAATGAAGAAATAGAAGATGATGAAAAATTAGAAAATGAATCAAATGAAGATATAGAAGAAGAGATGCAGAAAGAATCAAGTGGTGAAATTGAAGAAAAAAAAAAAGAAAAATCAAATGAAGAAGTAGAAGATGATGAAAAATTAGAAAATGAATCAAATGAAGATATAGAAGAAGAGAAGCAAAATGAATCAAGTGGTGAAATTGAAGAAAAAAAAAAAGAAAAATCAAATGAAGAAATAGAAGATGAAAAATTAGAAAATGAATTAAATCAAGAAATAGAAGAAAAAGAGAATGAAAATGAAGAATTCATAAAAGATGAAATAAAGCAGAAAGAAGAATTAGAAAAGGAACTATATGAAGATATAGAAGAAAAAGAAAAAGAAAAAAATGAAATAACAACCAAAGAAAAAAAAGATAAGTTATCAAATGAAAAAAGTAAACAAAAATTAGAAAATGAAACTAATATAAATGAAGAAAATATAAATAAAAATGAAAAAAATAATTTTAATGAATTAAAAGATATAAATATGAAAAAAGATGAAGAATTAAAAAAACGTAAATCTAATGTGGCATCTTATGAATTTAAAAAATTCATGCTGGATAAAAATATGAAGAATAAATTAGATAACGCTATTAAAAATTCATATACAAAATATAAATTATTAAGTAATTACTCCGATAAAATTAATAAATTAGGATTATTTAATTTATATAATGATCAAAATAAATCTATAGCAGTTAACAAATTAAAAGAAAGATCGAATTATAAAGGAGATGATGATGTTTATCTGAAGGATGCTATTTACGATAATGATAATGATAAAAAAAATACTTCACAAAAATAAAAGGAACTTTCTCAAAAGAAACTAAAATTATATTAAAAAAAAAAAAAAAGCTATTTTATACTCTTTATAAGTTTAATTTTTATAGGTATTCTGCTTATTCTTATTTTTTATTATATTTTTTTATAAATGTAGTTTTAGTTCTTAATTAATTTAATTTTTTTTTATCTTTTTTTTTAATGTTTAAACAGTTTTTTAAATTCTTTTTAAGCATATGCTTTTTTAATATTTTATTTACATATATGTTATTCATTTTCTTTTTTTATAAAAAAATAAATTTTTTTTACACATATTTAGGTTTTTTTAATAATCCTTTCTAATTATTAGTTTATTACATTAATAGTTATTCATAATTCTTTTTTTTTTTTTGTTGTTTTTTTGTTTTTATAATTATATATTTCCCTTTTTATAAAATGGATTTAACTATTCTACAAATAAGTTAAAATTTCTTCATTAAAAAATATACTTATTTTGAAAAGAATAATATTTTTTATATAATAAAAAAAAAAGAAAGTAAAAATTTCTTAGATTCCTTTTTTTTTATTCTCCAATTCTATAAGTTCTTTCTGCTTTTTTCGATATTCATTATTATAGGCGTGAATTTCATTTTTTGCCTTATCAACGTTCAAATACCATAAACTCAATGTTGATAAACCTAGTGGTATTGTTGTTCCTGAATATTTAAAATTTGAATGTTGAATTTATAGATTTTTTTTTTTTTTTTTTTTTTATTATGTAGAAAAATAACTTTATTTGTTACTTAATATATAATATATATTTTTTTTTTTTTTTTTTAAATTACCAAAAATAATACAAGTATACCAATTAAAGAATTTACTCATATTTATTGTAAAATAATCATAGAGGTTATATTATAGTAAATATTTTTTTATCTGTTGTATTATTATCTTTAACATAAATATATTTGAGAAAATAAAATTAAATTTAATGAAATAGTAAAGAAAAAAGAAAATTTTAATAATAAAAAATAAGCCTCATAATTCATTTAGATAAAATTTCATAGAAAGCTTTTTTTTTAATCTTTATATTGCCTATTTATTTAGATATTTTTTCGGGGTAAAATGTTTCCATTTATTTTTGAGTTAATACATTCAAAAAAAAATTTTCATATATATAATTTTTACATATTTAATAAATTTATTTCATTTTTAAAAATTAAATATTTTGCATTTTTTGAAACGAAAAACTAAAATATAACATTCAATTCAGAAAAATGAAAAAATTATTTCCATTTGTAAGAATTTATACACAGTACAATGATAAAAAGTATGATTTACTTTATTCTATGAGGAGTTCTTTTTATTTTTTTAAATATTCATTATGTTGAAAATTTTAATTATTCTATACACATAACTGAATACGGATCTTTTTTTAATTTTTACATTATGAATTATAGAAATAACTATTATTAAAAAAAAACATTATTTTATTTTTAAATTTAAAAAAGAAAAAAAAAAAAAAGAAATTATAAATAATACTATTTATGAAATAATTAAAAAAATAAAATATACAAAAAAAAAAAAAAAAAAAAAAATTTATTTATATAAAGAAAAAGAAGACAAAAATAAATTTTTAAGTTTAAATTAATATAAACTGTATTTAATAAAATAAATCGTATAAAAAATATAGAAATCTATTTTTACCTCCAAAAAATAAAGATGTCATTGTTATAGAGTATATTAAAAAAGAAAAAAAAAAGATATACATAAAAACAATTATATAACAATATTCTTTAAAACAAAAAAAAAATTAAATATAATTTTTTAAATATTTCACTTTCCATTATTTGATGTGTTAATTTTTGAATATAGCAAAGAATCTTTTGTCTGAAAAAAGAAAAAAAATAAATTAATAAGTATATTATATACTACAAAAATAATTATTTATAAATAATAATGTAAACATTCTTTCTCTTTTGTTTAATATTTTTACATATGCAATTTGAAAAGTTGCATAAGTTCCCAAAATAAATGCAGAAATAAGAACTAACACCGTCCTATTTAAAAAAAAAAAATTATGAATATGTTCATACATTTTTATTTATATTTTCGTATTTACATTATTTTTCTGAATTGCTAATGAATAAAATAATAATTTCATTGTCTCTTTCTTTTATTTTTTTCTATCTTATTAATTCATTATTTATAATTTATGTATAAAATAGATATACATATAATTACCATAAAGCAAAATGAAATTGTGTACTTTTCTGATTTTCATCATAAACCTCACTTAACTAAATATAAAAATAAATAAATAATATAAAATATATGTAATTTAATTAATAAGTATAACATTTTTTGAGATACTGTTTCTTTTATTTTCCATGTTAATTTTTTTTTTCTAATTTATATTTTATCTTCCTTACTTGCGCATTAATACGGTATAAAAAGACTAATATATTGAAAAAAAAAAAAAAAAGCTTCATCTTTCTCTATATTTTAAAATAGCTATTTTTTAACTGAATTTTTGCATAAAATTAAATAAAATCTTATATAAAATATTTTTTATTTTATTTTATTTTTTTTTTATCTTAAACTTATTATTATTTTATATAATTTTTTCTCATAAAATTAAATCTTAAATAAAAAATTTTATTTTTTTCTTTTCATTTATTTTTATATTTGGTTGTTAATCTTTTTTCTCTCAACTTTTTCTTTTATTTTTTACATGCGCCTTTTTTTTTTTTTATTTTTTTTTTTTCTTGTTTGCTGCTAAAAATTGCATCAATATAAATTTTTTTTTTTTTTTTTTTTCTATATTATGTCTTTTCAAAAACTTTAGTATTATTAAAAACACCTATAATCATTTTATTTATCTTATATAATTATTTTAATCTTAAAATAATAATTATAAAATATAGGATAAAGAATAAAATGTTTTAAATAAAATGAAGTTATAAATTTGAATAAATCTTTTATTTTAATTTTGTTTTATTCACTAAATGTATGCACAATGTAAGAATTTTAATATTAAAGTAATTAATGTTAAAATTTAAAACTTAACATTTATTTTTTTTTTAAATTGAAGTTGTTTCTTAATTCTATTTTTCTACGTAATTCCCCAAATGATTAAATACTCTTAGTAGAATAATTGATGGTTAATTTGAAATAAAACTCATTTAGATCGTTATAATAGAAAAAATTCAAAATTATTTCTTTCAATATAAATATAATTATAGACAATACTTCCTAGTATAAGTAATATGATATTAATTTCAAAAAAAAAAAAAAAAAAAAAAAAAAATACCAAAATACTTCTTTTTGGAGTACAGTTAAAATTTATATGAATTACATCTTTTACACCTACACATTTTTGTAATATCTGGGATAAATTACTTTAAATTCGTTTCTTTTCTTTTCTTTTCTTTTTTAAAGTAGACACCAAATTTTGTAGTCAAATTTTTTATTATATAAAAATCATAAAAAACTGCATAAAATTTTTTATAGAATGAAACTTTTAAAAAGCATACAAATTCTTTTACATAAAATTTATATAAAAAATTTAATATAGTAAATTTTTTTTGTATTAATGAACAAATACATTATTTTTTAAGTAATATATATTAAAAGTATTTTAAATTAAAAAAAGCTAAATTTAAAAACAATTAAAAAGAAAAAATTTTTTGTTATCTTTACACATATATAATAAAAAATCCATAATGGATAATATATGTTCGATGCTTCTAGAAAATGAAGATTATCTAAATGAAGATAACTTTCATATAAATATGTTGGTTTGGTATTATAAAGAAAACGAGAATGAATTAGAAATACAAAAAAATGATTTTATAATAATGAATAAAATATTTGAGAAATGTAAAATTTTAGATAAGTCTAATACAAAAAATATAAGACTAGAAAATGTGAGAAATAAAATGATATATGAATGTGAAAATATAAAAAAATTATATTCATGTGAAAATATAGATATTAATGTAGATGATATCTGCAATTTAAATTGTAGAAATATACCAACAATATTAAATTACTTATGTGGACGATTATCAAATGATATAATATATACAAATCTAAGTCATTTATTGATTGTAATAAATCCGTTTAAATGTCTAAATGACACTAACGAAACAATAATAAAAAAATATAAATATATGGAAAATGAAAAAAATTTAAAGTCTCATATTTTTAAAAAAGCAAGAACAGCTTTATATAACTTAAAAAATTTGAGCAAAAAAAATCAATACATTATTGTATCAGGAGAAAGTGGTTCAGGAAAAACAGAAGCGTGTAAAAATGCTATGAAATTTTTAACTTATAATGAAATAAAAGAAAGAACAAAAGTACCTGAAATAATTTTGAACACAAATGTATTGTTAGAATTTTTTGGAAATGCTAAAACCATTCATAATAACAATAGTAGTAGATTTGGTAAATCTGTTAAATTATATATTGATGAAAATAATAATGTTCAAAGCGGATATATAAAAGCATTTCTCTTAGAAAAAAGTAGAATTATTAAACAAGAAAAAGAAGAACGGAATTTTCATATTTTTTATGAAATGTTAAATTATTTGAATAATAAAGAAAATATATTCTTATATAAAGAAAATTTCAAAAATTATTCTACTAATATAGAATATTACAATATTTTGAATAAAAGTGATTTAAAGTTTTCTAATGAACAAAAAAATAAATTTCATGAGATTATAACTTCCTTTCATTACCTTAATTTAAATGATAAACAAATTAATGATATTATATCAATTTTATTTGGTATTTTATTACTAGGTAATGTAAAAATAGTAGAAAAAGAAAACTCCTGTGGAATAGCTCGAGGAGTTATAGAAAATTACGAAGAATTTAAAAAAGCATGCGAGGCTTTGTTTTTAGATGATATAGCTCTAGAAAATATATGTTCAACAAAAATTACCACAATAGGCAAAACTGAAATAAAATCATCCTTTACAAAAGAAGAAATGGAAACTATGTTACATTCTTTTAGTAAAATTATTTATTATAATTTATTTAGTTGGATAATTGACAGAATAAATAATCTTATAAATCCTTTATATGAGAAAGAAAATCAAAATGAAAATGAAAATGAAGAAATTCATCTAAATAAAAATGAAAACCTTGATTTGAATACACAATTGAATAATAATAGGAATTTTATAGGTATATTAGACATATTCGGCTTTGAAATATTTTCTAAAAATTCGTTAGAACAATTATTAATAAATATAGCTAATGAAAGAATACAGCAATTTTTTCTTAATACTGTTTTTGAAAAAGAAAACGAAATATATATAAAAGAAAACATTGATATTCCACTAATTCAATATACACCAAACTATAATTTATTAAATGTACTGTATAAAGAACCCGTTTCTATTTTAAATTTTTTAGAAGATTGCTGTTTAACACCCAAAAGTACTGATCTAACTTTTACGATGCTATGTAATAAGCATTTTGGAATATTAGATAAACAAAATGAAAAAAGTATTTATAAAATAACAAGTAATTCTTATGATAATACAAAGAATCAATTGTTAAAAAAAACGAATTCAACTAATTCGGATTTGAAAAACATAAAAAGTAATATTTTTCCAGAGAAGGATCATCAAAATTACAAAAAATATGCTTCAGAAATATATATAAAAAATAAATCTTCAAATGCTAAAAAATTTACTATTTCACATTCTATAGGGAAAATAGAATACACCACTGACGATTTCATTTTTAAAAATAAAGATGTTATAAAATCAGAATTTATTGATATATCAAAAAGTTCTTCAAATGAAATTTTTCAAAATTTATTTAAAGATTGCATTATTGAAAAAGGAAAATTATCAAAAAGACTTTTGATTTCTTCTCAATACATTAAACAATTAGATAAATTAATAAATGAAATAAATACCTGTGAAATTCACTTTATTAGATGTATAAAATCTAACGAATTCGGTAAACCCAACCATTTTGATGAAAAAAGGGTTTTTCTACAGTGTTATTCTTTATCTTTATTTCACGCTTTGCAACTTAAAAATTTTTCATTTTCATATAAATTTACATTTGAAGAATTTTATGAACAATTTAAACTAATTTATATGTTGAATAATTTATATGAACCAATAATTTATTCAGAAATTAATGCAAAAATAAAAACCATTTCTATTTGTGAAAATTGTCAGCTATCAATTGAATCTTATAAAATTGGATTAACAAAAATTTTTTTAAATATAGAATCACTGACTACAATAAAAAAACAAATGAACAATTTAATTAATAAATGGAGTTCAGTTGTTTCTATTTTGTATGCTTTTGTTAAAAAGTATAAAAAAAAAAAAAATTTTAAAGAAAAATGCCTGACTTATTTGCCAAGAATTCAGGCTCATATAAGAAAATATCTAGTGCTTCATAAAATTATTTCTCATATTAATAGAAATGAAACATTAAAAGAAAACATATTTTAAAACCAATTTAATTTAAATTTAGATATAATTAAAAAAAATCATCAAACACACAATAAAAATAAACTGCAATATAATACTTATTATATATAAATATTTGTAAATATGAATGCTTTTAATTGAATTTTTACTAAAAATACGAAACTAATATAAGCACCTTTCAAAACTATTAAATTTTAACAATTTCACAATTAAAAATTTTCTTTGTAATTTATTTAAAGAACTTTTTTCCTTCTTTATTCAATATATATATTTCTTAATTTTCTTATTATTCTTTGAAATGAATCATTCAGCAAGGAATTATAAGAGGTGTAAACCATCATCTTAATTAGTTCTCTTAAAACAAGAAAAATCATTTTTTTTTTTTTTTTTTTTTTTAATTATTTTCTTTAATTTTTTCATAATGTAAAAATTTTTTGTGAATATTTCATTTTAGAATCTTTTGTAAAATATTTACAACAACATAACTATAATTAAAACTATAATAGTATGTAAAATAAAAAGAAAACCAAATTTTTATTGAATACAAGAAATTTTATATATGGATATTAAAGAATAATAAAAAAAGAAAAGCTGTTATATTTTAATTTATTAATATAATATTTTTATGTGTAATTGTATCAAGAAATATGTGAATTTTAATAAAAAAAATATAATATATTTAAATGTAAAAATTAATAATAAATAAATATGAATGCTTATTCTTAAAAAAAAAAATAAATAAATAAGTAAAAAACACCATTGAATCACTAATAAAAAATATGTATATATATATATATATATATCAAAAAAAAAAAAAAAAAAAAAAAAAAAAAAAAAAAAAAAATGAATAAATAAATATGAAAAACTCAATATATATGCGTATTAATTTAAAAATTAAAAAAAAGATGTTTTTAAATACTTCGTAAAATTTTCAAATAAAATTTATTTTGTATTTAAATTAAAAAAAAAAAAAAAAAGTATTATAAAAAATTATTTAAATAAATATATTTATATTAACACCTACTTTAAAAAAAATATTGTAAAACTAAGTTATGCTTATGTTCTAAGAAAATGAAATATTCAGCTTTTAAGAATTCTTTAAGGTATGATTATTTATTTTATCTTTTAAATATAATAAGTGATAATATAATCATTAAAATGTTTTTTTTTTTAAATTCAGATTTGCAAGCAAGTTTTGCCAGAAAAATAATTATAAAGTATATATGAATAGTGTGCCTCAATTTTCTACTTTTACTTATGGAAAACATATAAAAACGTAAACAGAAAGAACATTATTTTATATTTTTTTTTAATAAAAATATATATATACTTGTAATTTTTTTTTTTTTTTTTTTTTTTTTTTTTTATNNNCTTTTTTTTTTTTTTTTTTTTTTTTTTTTTGTACTATAAACTATAACAGAAACCCCTTGACAAGTAGACTTGATGATTTATTAAAAAAAAATTCGAATTTAATAAGTATAATGAGTGTTAATGGATTAGATGATTTAATTACGCAATCTTCAAAAATTGGTGAGTTATTTTTATATTATTTAATAACACAAAATAATTTATCAAATTTATTATTTAATGTACCAAAGAGGTATATATATATATATATATAATATATAATGTGATATGTTTTTTTTTAAAAATATCACAAAAAAAGATGAAGTTATTTATGTATGTATCCATTTATATAATTGCATTATTTTTGAATTTCTCTTTATATTTTTTAATTTTATAAATATCTTTCCATTGTTAATATATATTTTGATTCATATATAAAATTGTTTATTTCACTTTCATTTTTTTCATTTTTCGTATATTTATTTTTTTTTTTAACAGAATCTGTTTCAATTGCAGAATGGTTACTAAACCTCGTAGAAGAATATCAATGTATGATAAAATTACACCAGTATGAAACATTATTTATTTTTTGAATTATATAAGTTATACATTATAATTTTTTTTTTTTTTTTTTTTCTTTGTTTTGTTTCATCTAATTTTTTTTCTTTTAGCTCTAGAAAGAACTGTACATTTTTTGAATAATAGATATATGTATAAATACATGTTATATATATTGTAGAAAATTGAGGTTCATTTAATAAGAATAAAATACTAAATTTTAAAATCATATATATATAAATGTACATATGTATTCAATAATATTTTTTTTTATTATGTATGTAATTTTTTTCTTAATATGTTCATAATTTTTCTTATTTTCTATAAAGTTATAATAATATTTCGTATTAATATAAAAAAATTTCTTTTATTACATAACTACATAATACAACAAATTTATCATTATTATTATGTTTTCCATCATTCTCATATTTTATGTTGTATTTAATGTGCGTTTTTTTCATTTTTTATATATTCATATTTTTTTTTAAGTATGAATACATTTTAGTATTGTTTATTTCACCTTTAATTATATCGTTAAGATTACTTTTTTTTTTTTTTTTATGTGCATATTTATATATATTTATATATATATACATATATATATATATATAACTACATTTAATCTGACTAAATATATTAATTCTATCTTTTTTTTTTTTTTTTTTTTTTACATTTTATGTAGTAATGCTATCATGTGTAAATATGACTACAATACGGTTAAATTGAGAAAAATATAAAAATAATTTTTAGTTTATATAAAAATTTATCACTCATGTACATCTAGTTTTACTCGTACATATAATTATATTAACTGCACAAAATTTTTTTCATTATAATTTTTTTTTATTCCACATACATTTAAATTATATTATTTTATTAACATAAAATAATTTATTATTATCATATTAATTTTTTTTTTTTTTTTTTTTTTTTTAAAAAAAAAGCAGTTGGTTTTCCATTAGGAGCATTAGATTGTCAACAAAATTTTTCAAAAATTAAGAAAATTGAATAAGATTTTACAAAAGCTCATTATATTAATTTATATTTTAATCTGAATATATCTATATATCAGTGTTGATTTAAAATAACCAAAATTTTTGTTTCAAGTGAAATTAATTTTATATAATTTATTACTCATGTAATTTTAATAAACTTTATTTTATACATATATAAATTATATTTTTAAACATCATATAGATAATTATTTCTATGCATAAATATTAACAGCAATTTTATATATGATTATTTTATTAAAATAAATTTAAAAAAAAAAAAAAATTATTTATGTTTTAATAAAACTACATTTCATTATTTTTTTTTTTTTTTTGTTTGATATATTATTTTACACTATATTTTTCTCCATTTTATGATTCATTAATGTTAAAAACTGATGCACACCATTATTTAAAATTTTTACTTTTTTTTTTTTTTATAGGTTACTTCTTACAGGAAATTGGTCAAAATTGCTGCATATTATGAGAAAATAAAATCAGTAATTTTTATCCCTTATGTATTTACGTTTAATACAATATATATATATATATATCTTACAAACTATTTTTAATAAGAATATACGAAAAAAGAAGAATACATAATATAAATACTTAAAATTTTTTTTTTTTCTTTTTAACATTGTTATAATTTTAAGTGAAAACAAAAAAATTTGATATTTAAAAACATGATAAAGCTAATTTTAATTTAAAAAAAATATATAGGAGTTTATAATTCAAAACATATACAATAAAAGTTAACAAATTTTAATTAAAAAAATACATAATACAGTAAACTTTAAATTAAAAAAAAAAAAAAAAGGAAAGAAAATAAAAAGTAATTAACAAATATGAATTTTATGAACTACATGACAAAATGTGTACACAAATTTAAATTTAAAAAAAATTTTATAAAAATATATATTTTTTTTTTTAAATTATCTTCTTGATGTTTTTCCAATGGTTCTTTTTCCTGAAAATAAATGTCGTGGTTTTTTTGAAGGAATAGATCTATCAGCTTCTCCTTTTTTTCCTTTTACAATTTTCCTATAAGCTATTTTATTTAACTTATAAGCTTTAGCTCTTTGTATCTCAGATGATGTACTTAAGTATATTTTTGATTTCTTAGTTGGATCATTATATACATTATCTTTAATTTGTTTTTTTTTAAATATTTCTTTTTTCACCTTTTCTTTTTTTGGGGTTTTACTTTTCTTAGATTTCTCGGTCATACTTTTAAGAACTTTTTCTTTGTTCAGTTTTAATTCATCTAATTTTTTTTCAATTTCTTCAATTGTTTTATTTCTCTTATGATATAATGGTTGCTTTTCTTCATTTAATTTAGAGTTTATTTTTAATCCCCTTAATTTCAATGCCATTCTTTGTAAAATTTTTTGTGTCTTAAACCAAAGTGGATTTATCTGTACTTCTTTATCAAAGAGACTTTCTTCCTCTTTTTCTAATTCTAGTAATTTTTCTTCTATATCTTTATCAACAAAATCGCTTATATTTTTTCCATTATATATTTCTGGTATTACATCATATTTATATTCCTCTTTTATATCATAATTTTTTCTAATATCAACTGAATAAACACCAGCACCACCATTTTGATTTTGCAAATCAATCTGTAAAATTCTATCATCTGTTCTATTGCTCAAATAACTTTGTCTGCTTTTATTTTTTTTTTTTAATTTTAACTGATGTAAAGTATTTTCTTCTACATTTTTTTCTTCATCATTTTCGTTATCATTATTTTTTTTTTCTAATGTTGCATCTTCAGTAAAATTTTTTTCTACTCTTTTTTCTTGTTCTTCTCTTTTTCTTATTCTTTCTTGAATAACTGAATCAGGTATATATGGAGCTCTATTCAAATTTATTTTTTTTTCATTTAATTTATTATTAAGTAAACTTTCTTGATCTAATAAAATTGATGAAGCTTGATCATTTTTTAATAGATCACAAGCAGCTATTTTAGCTTCCTCCACACCTACTCCTGTTAAAGTGCTAAATGGGCAAAATTTTATTGGGCTAGTAATATTATCAACAATTTGTTTAATTAACAATTTATTATCTACAGATAAGTTGTCTACATTAACTTTATCAATTTTATTAAATCCGATAACAATTGATTTATTTGTAAATAAAGACTTTATAGAATAAAATAAATTTACTTGTTCTTTTATAGAAATTCCACATTCTTCACTTATGTCAATTATGAATAAAATAACCCCATTAATATGAGCTAGAGCAGTAATAGTTGTCATCTCAATAGTATTTCTATTTTCTAGAGGTCTATCTAATAATCCTGGAGTATCAATAATTTGATATCTATTTAATTTATAATCAAAATGTCCAACATATAAATTTTTGGTTGTAAAAGAATACGGTTGGACTTCAACATTAGCTCTTGATGTTAAATTAATAAATGATGATTTTCCTACATTAGGAGCACCAGCTAATAAAATTGTTTTTTTATGTGGATTAATAGAAGGCAATCGAGATAAATTCTGCCTCACTTCTTCTAAATAAAGTAAACTTGGTTGTAATTTTTTTACTAATTTACACATTCTACCAAGCGCACTTATTTTTAACATCTTACATTTATATAAGGATGAACTAAATTTTAATAATTTTATATAATCATGGCATATTCTTATAACAGCTTTACTTACATAACTACACTGACCTAAAGCTAATTTATAATGATCTCTATCATATAATATATTTGCTAAATCTGAATAAAAAGGATGTATATCATCTAATTTTGGGAAATCATTTATTATATTCTGTAATTTTTCTCTGAACAATTCTTGACATATTTTCACTTTTCTCATATAAAAATTTCTAATCCTCGTTATTTTAAATCCTTTGTGAATTTCAGTTGGAGTTTTTCTTTGTGTTTTTGATAAAACCACATCAACTAATTCTTTCGCGCTCACAACTGGCTTTATATCCTTAAAACGATACAAATTTAATTCCTTCATTTAAAAAATATAAATATAAAAATAGATATTTTGTATAATATTAATTTTATAAAAAAAAAAAAAAAAAATATTTTCACAATATATTAAATTTACATAAAATTATTATAAAATATATAAAAATTTCCTATAAAAAAAAAAAATAATATAATTAAACTTAATTAGAAAAATAAGTACAATAATTAAAGAAAATTGTAAAAACTATTTAAGGAAAAACATCTTTTTATAATCCAAAAATAAATTTATAAAAAAAAAAAAAAAAAAATTAAAAATTAAAAATACATCTTTATAACAGCTTTTTATATTTCATAAAAAAAAAAAAAAATAAAATAAATTATATTCTTTTTTTATTCATAATTTTTTTAATCTACATATATATTTATTATATTTCATTTTAATATATACTGTATATCTTTAATTTTATGACGTTATGCTTATTTTTTTTCGTCAATTATTTTGATTCAATTTTATTAAAAGAAAATAATTAAATAAATTTAATATGTATAATTTTTAATTTTTCTTATCTTTTTTATTTTTTATGAAAAATTTGTTAAATTTAAATGTTGCGAAAAACATAATTTATTTTTTTTTTTTTTTAATTGATAAAAAAAAAAAAAAATACAACTATACGAAGCTTTTTTCCTTTTTATTTGGACATAGAGATTGATATTCAATATTAACATAAAATAAATATGTTTATACATTTTATTTAAATAATTCAAAAAATATATATATATATATTTTTTTTTTCTTCTAAACAATGGTATATATCTAACACGATGAGATTGAAATAATAAAAAAATATTAATAATATTATAAAAAACAACAAAAAATATTTTATAATTCCTAAAGAATATTCAATAAAAGATGATTATAAAAAGAGTTAAAAAAAAAATAATGTTTTAAACTATTTTATATGAACATAGTATTAAATTTTTTATAAAAAGAAGTGTGAAGGAAATATATTAATAAAAAAGTTTTAGAGTATTGAAGAAAACTTTTAAAAAAAAAAGAAAAATTCAAAAAATTCTCTCGGATTTTTAGTAAAATATTTAAGGATTACTTAATATCTTTAAATTAATAAAGTATAAGTTAGAACAGAAGGAATTTCATTCAAATAGGTGATTATGTATTTCATTAATTGTAATTCATTATATTTCTATAAGTGCAATCCTGTAAATAATATTAAAAAATAATTTTCTTTTATATTTTATAACACATTAAGTATATATATTATAAACAAAATAGAATAATAAATCTTTTAAATGAAAAAAAAAAAAAAGAATTAATAAGAAATAATAAGAAAAGAAAGAGTAAAAGAAGTTAAAAGAACAAAATAGAAAAACTAATAATGATACACATATTGTCTCTTATTAATTAGAATCATAAATTATTTATAAAGAAAAAATTTTTCCTTTAAATAATATTAAAAAAAAAAAAAAAAAATTAAAAAGGTAAATAGTTCTGTAATAAATGCACAAATATAGCAAAATTTTTGCTATATTATTTAATATAGCAATAAAGAAGTTATATATATGCATATAAAATAAAAATTTATTTTTGTTAAGACATTATTGAAAAAAAATTATTTTGTACATTATTATATTATCTATAATTTGCGTCTTTCCAATTATTTAAATAAAGAAAAAAAAAAAATAGAAATAGAAAAAAAATTTTCTCAATCAAATATTATTTTGGGTTAAATTTTCATTTTAACTGCATTTTAATTTTTAATTAAAAAAAAATATAAAATATAGAAAATAAATAAAGACTCTTTGCCTATACATGTGTTTAAAAAAAGAAATTTAACACATATCAACACCTTTCCAATTTTGTTCTATCTTGATTTTCTGAAAATTAAAAAAAAAAAAAAAATATTCTTCATTAAAATTATGAAGAGTATTTTGTCATTTTTTATTAAATAAATGCAAATATTATAAAAGAAAAAAAAAAATTTATTTTGAAGTTTGTTTACTATTTTTTACCTTTATATATACATATATAAATATATATATATATATATATATATATATATATATATATATATATAAACTTATTAGATAATATGCTGACTTATTTTTTTACGTTATTCTTAATTATTTATTTTCTTTATATTTTATGCAAAGTTAAAGGTGATTGTGATTTCTCTAGCGATTCCTTAAATTTGTCTGTTAGTGAAATAATACCTAAAGATGAAGAAACTTATCTTAGTAACATAAAATATTGTGTAAAATTTACAAAAGGGTTTGAAATTTTAACTTTTATTTGCCCCAAAAAATCTATTAATTATGAAGGAATAGAAGTTAGGCCTTTTAATTGCTTTGAAACAGTTAGAATAAATGGGAGGCATGAAAATTTGGGTGAACTGTTAGAAGGAAGCGTATTTAAGAATAGTGAAACAGATTCTACTATTGTAAGAAAAGTTTTTATTCCACCATTAATTAAGGAAGATATTCTTTTCGAATGTACATGTGATAACAGTTTAACATTTAAAGGAAAGCATATGGGTTCTAGAGGAATTATGAGAGTTCAACTAAAAAAAAATAAAATCTTTGGATGTGATTTTGATCATAATGGGAATATAACACAGAAAAACCCATTTATTTATCATGAAAAATCAACAAAAAATTCAAACGAAACTATTATTTGTAATGTTATAGTAAACAGTTCAGAGGTAATTTTGGGTTTAATATGCCCAAAAGATTATAAATTATTTCCAGATAATTGTTTTGAAAATGTTTTGCATGAAAATAAAATTGTGAAAATAAGTGAGTTAGTACCGCACGATTTAAAATTGCACACTAACGAAAAAGAGAGAAGTTCGTTTGCATCATTTACATTAAATAAAAACGAAAAAACAAAAGGTTTTTCTTGTCAATGCGTTAAAAATAAAAACTCTCGTCTTTATGCATATTTTGAGTTTGATTTGAATTATAAATCTTCTAGTTTCCATATATATATACTTTCTTTTATAATCTTCATTTTATTTTTAATACTTTTTTTTTTTTAGAATTTAAGTGTAGAATCATTTTTTAAAAAAAAATTTGTACACTATTTGAAAATTTTACTTCGTAGAGTTTTTTTTCTCCTCCTAATTTTTTATACTATACAACTATAAGTTTTACTTATTTTCTTTTTTTAATTTTTTCATCTCATGCATATATTTTATGTTTTTACAGTTTACTCTTTTTTTTATAATTTATTCAATTTTTAAAATTTTCGTTAATTTTTTTGAAAAAATCTTTCCTTCTCTCATTACAATTAATGAATTTTTTTGAAGATCCGTTATATAACTCTCATTTACATTTTTTTTTTTTTTGTAAAGATCATTTTTTTTCTAAAATTAAAGTAAAATTAATTTTTATCATTTTTTTCTTTGAAAAATTTTTCAAAATAAAAGAAAATGTTCATGCTTAATTTTAAACTAAGAATGTAATGTATGTTCAATGAACCACATGCTAAGTTACATTAAATGTGTGTGATTTAATTTTTTTTATCTATGAACAATAATTAATGAAACATATGGATTCATAATATATGTAATATGTTTAATTCAATCAAAAATAAACAAAAAAAAAAATTATTTTTAATTTTAAAAGAGAAAATAATATTTTAAGTTTAAGTTCATGCACAATATTTTAATAGACTTTTTATATAAATTATTTGTATACACAATTTTTAAATTTTATCGAATTAAATATTTTTTTTTACAACAAAAATTATTAAAAAAGTCTTTTTGTTAATGTTGAATTTTTTTTAAAATACAATGATTTTAAAAAAATTATTTTTTTTAGCACTTTCCGTTATTTGTTCATTTCATATAACTTCTGCGTATGATCATGTATGTGACTTCAATGAAGATAGACCCTTAACATTTCCAAAAAATCAAAAAGATAATCTTTCTAAAACATGCAAATTACAACCATCCTTAATGGATAAAGTAATTATAAAATGTGGATCTAATAGTTTAAAATATAAACTGAATCCTCCAAATTGCTTGCAAGAAGTTTATGATTCAAATACATTAGTGAATAAAAAGAAAATTCATGAAATTCTAGAAGGAGTTTCCAGTATAATGATACGTAATAACCCTGAAGTAGATGTGAACGACGTATCACTAAGAATACCTCCAAATATTTTTGCAGATAAAAAAATTTTTTGTACATGTGAACATGAAAAAACTATTAGAGTAAGAAGAAATCAAGTGGAAAGTTCTAAAGTAATAAAATATACAGGTATTATTGAAATTGTGATACCTACTTTGAAAGAAAAAATTCCAGGTTGTGATTTTACAAAAGAAACATCTTCTTTATTCACTAATGGGTATGACCATACAGTAGATATAAATGATGATGATGATAATAAAATTACATGTAAAATTCCTTTGAAAAAAAATATGTTGGTTGGTTTTAAATGTCCTAAAGATTCTAATATTAAACCTGAAGACTGTTTTATAAATGGATATAACACAAATGGAAAAATTCAGAATCTACAACAAACTTTTGGTTTTACAGAATTAGTTATGGATCATTATAATAATGTATTTTATGCCAAATTTCCAGATAATTTAAAAAAAGAAGCGAGTTTTTTTTGTTTTTGTTCATATAATGAAAAAAAATTTGTTACTTACTTTTTTTTTGGAAATGTAAATAATCAAAATATCACCATTCCAGAATTACCTGATAAAAACTTAAAATCAAATATCAGTTATTCTGTAAAAATAGCAGCCTCAATTTTTTTTATGTATTTTGTTTCCTTTTTAATTACTTTATAATTTAAAATTTTTATATAAAAATATATGTCATGATTTTGTACATATATAATTTTCTTTTTTTTTTTTTTTTTTTTTTTGTAAAAAATTTATAATTTTTATTAACATTCAAATATATAAATACCTTGTTTAACATATATATATTAAGAATTTAAATTTGGTAGTAGAAAAAAAAATGTTACTTTTAATATATTCTTTCAATTTTTCATTATTTTTATAAATCGCCTTCTAATTCACCATGTATACAAAAATATAAAATATAATATTAAATAAAAAAATAAAATATATTAAAAATATATATTTTTTTAAAAAGTAAATAAAAGGTATAATATAAATAAAATAGAACCTATAAAAAGAGCAAAGTAATAATAAGTTTCATATGAATATAAAAAAAAAAATTTCTTCATTATGTGAATTATTAAAAAAAAAAAGAATATAAAATATATTAAAAATATTAAAAAAATGTTATGTGAAAAATGTAATGAAAAAAGTATATGTTTAATGAAACCTTCCAATAGAGAAAAATTATGCAAAGAATGTTTCATAAAAAATTTTGAAGATGAAGTTCATATGACTATTATAAAAAAAAGAATGTTTGAGGCGAACGACAAAATTTGCATTGCTGTGTCAGGTGGAAAAGATTCTAGTGTACTAACTCACGTACTTGTTAACATAAAAAAAAAATATAATTATAAATGGGATTTATTTTTATTAGCAATTGATGAAGGAATTAAAGGATATCGTGATGACTCTTTGAAAGTTGTATATAAATTAGAAAAATTGTATAACTTACCTTTAAAAATTTTGAAATTTAATGATATTTTCTCATATACTATGGATGATGTTGTAAAATTTATTGGAAAAAAAAATAATTGTACAGTATGTGGGGTTTTCAGAAGGCAGGCTATGGAAAAAGGTGCACTATTATTTAATGCAACAAAGTTAGTAACAGGACACAATGCTGATGATATGGCAGAAACAATATTAATGAATTTGTGTAGAGGAGACATTGATAAGTTAGCCAGAAATATCAATGACTACACATTCACTTCACCTCTTAATAATTCAATGGAAAAAGAAATATTAACAGTTAATAAAAAACATATAGAAAACAATTATGATTACATGAATGGTATAGAAAATGACATAGATAAACAAAACCTACTTCAAAATGAAATATACAATGATAAATTATGTCAAGTCAAAACAAAGGATAACATAGAAAAGAGCCCAATACAAAATAAGATAAACGATCATTTTAATAATGAAAAAAATATAAGTAATAATATAATAAATCCTAAAGAATCAGAGAAGCGAAAAAATTTTTTTTTGCCAAGATTAAAACCATTAATGTGGTGTTATGAAAAGGAAATAGTTCTTTATGCTTTTCATTTGAAATTAGATTATTTTAGTACAGAATGTACATATTCACCTAATTCTTTTCGTGGAAATTTAAGAAGTTTTATTAAAGATATTGAAACTATAAATCCTCAATTTATTTTAAATATAATACATTCAGCAGAATTTTTTTATTTTAATGCAAATAACAAAAAAATGTTAAATGTTTGTATTAAATGTGGTGCATATACATCCAACCAAGTTTGTAAAGCTTGTTTAATTGTTACAGGATTAAATAATTACAAGGATAATTCCTTCCTTTATTCTAATAAAAAGAAAAACAAAAAAAAAATTTCTATTAATTACGAAAAAAAATAAATTACAAATTAAATACATATATATATATATAAATCCTTTTTTAAAAAATTAAAAGAAATTTAATTCAATTGATAATAATTAAAAAATAAAAAGATCCTATTTAATAGTGAATAAAAAAAAAAAAAAAAAAAAAAAAAATTCTTTCATATATATTTTGTATATATTATTTACGTTCATATAATTAATAATTCTTATATATAAAAATATATACATAGCCTTTTAATTAATATTGAATTGTAAAATTTTCAGAAGAATCAACTACGTTTGCAACTACTTTTTTTTTTTTCCATTTTAATTTTATTTTTTTATTAATGTGTTTCATTTTAATTATACTCATTTTTCAAGTAATTTTCATCATATTATTTTTCTTTCCCTATATATATACTTTTAAAATAATTGAAAAACATACAGATTTTTCTTTTTTCCTATATCTACTAATTTTTTGGTGTACATACCTTTTTATATATATAATTTTGTGTTACGTTTATCAAATTATCCCTTTTTTCTGTATTAACTTCATTGTCTTTTTTTTTTTTTTTTTTTTTTTTCATGATAAATACCCAAAAAATGTTTCAAAAAAAAATAATAATAATTAACTGATAAGGATAATTTTGAACATAAAATTTAATTTGTTTTTCAAAAACTTTTCAATAAAATTTTTTTGTCTATCATTGATAAATGTTTCTTTCTCTTAACAATAATAAAATTTTTTAATCAATAATTTTTTCTTATTTACAGATTTTATAACCAAATTACTTCAATTTTAAGAAAAGAATTATAGTTATTTTTAGAATGAATTATTTTTAAATAATTTTCTTTTTCTTTTTTTATAATACAATTGTGATTAACTGTTTTATAATATTTGGCATATTGTTTTTTATGTATAAATATCATTCCTTTCATAATTTACATTTTTTATATGAATATTAATTCTTTCATAAAATTATTTAACATTATTAATTTAATTGTATCTATTTTTTTTTATTTTTTTTTTTTTTTTTGTAACACATTCTATATATCTTATACATTTCTTATATGTTATCATCTATTATTTGATCTTATTCTGTCTTAATTATTTAGTCTTTTTTCTTTTCATTCTTTTTTTTTTTTTTTGTTTTTTTTAAAATGAGAAAAAAAGATAGTGAATATATAATTAATAGCACATATGAATCTTGCTTAAGAAAACTAGAGGAAAATATGCAAAAAAGTAAGTTAGCATTAAAAAATGAAAAAGAAAAAAAAATAAATATTAAAGATATTGAATTTAATATAAAAAACCATATGAATGAAATGACTAAACTAGTAAAAGAAGCCAAAATTATAAATTCCTCCACAAGTAACAATATAAAAGATTTTTATAACGGATTAATGAAGTGTGAAGAGCTTTGCAACCAACTAACTTCTGATGAAATAAATCAAAAAATAAATGAAACGTTTAATAATATAGTAACGGAAATAAATAACAAATGTAAACCAATAGTTTTATAAAAAAAAAAAAAAAAAAAAAACATAGAAAATAAACATTTTTATGAAAATATTTTTTTTTTTTTTTTTTTTCTGATGTATAAATAATTAAAGCAATTAAAAAATTAATAAAAAGTATTTATACTGTAATTTTCAATAGAAAATTTTTTACGTGTGTATATTAAAAAAAAAAAAAAAAAAAAAAAAAAAAAGGTTAAAAACTGATAAATAAATAAAAATTAAAGTTAAAAAAATAAAAACTACAAACTTTTAAGATAAATTAATTATTTATGTACTTAAAAAAAATTATAATTATTAAATTCTACAAATATGAGATATTATGTATACAAATATTTAACCTATAAATATATCATAAAAAGAAAAATGAACTAGTTATTTATACATATGCTTATAAATGTCCAAAATATATCTTCTTTTTGATGTATCCTTTTTAAAATGTTTTTGTGGTTCCATTGCTGAATATTTTTTCTTAAATTGAATATAATTTGTAGTTATATAATGCGAATTTAAAATTTTTTTATTAAAATATTCGTCAGCCAACTCAAATGTTTTTAAAAATTTTTTATATTCATGCTCATCTATAGGTTCTAAAAAGTTAAAGTGTGTTGACTTTTTCTCCTGTTTCTGTAAATTATTAATACCTAAACATAATTGTAGGTAATTACAACTGTTTATATTATTTATTATATTAGAATTTAATATATTATAAAAATCACTACCTAATTTTTCGTGAATTTTAACATAACTTTTATATTTATATGTACCTACTGATCTATAAAAATCTGGTATAATAATGCAAATGTTTTTAGTGTCTGCATAATTTAAATAACTTAATATATTTTTTATTAATGTACCACTTTTTTCAAATATTGATATTATTGGTTTAATTAAAATAATATCATTTTTTTCACATATATATGAATTTATATTACTTAATTTAATCCATTCATCAAAATTATATTTTCTATTTAAGTAATCTAAGTACATTCTGCTAACATCTCCCTTTTTAAAATTTGATACTGAGTTTTTTTTTATTTCATTTCCTAATGCTATTAAAATTCTACTTTTACTTATCATTTTTAAGTTTTATTTAAAAAAAAAAAAAAATAATTAATTACTTTCATACCATCTATATCTTTTTTATAAACTTTTCAATTTAATTGATACATACTTTATAAAATATAATTTTATATTACTTCATCATAACAATGTATGTTTTTTCCTTTTAAACATATTACTAAAATGATCATAGTATATTCATATATATATATACGTATTAAATTAAAAATTTACACACATAAATAAACCTGAACAAATAAGTATTAAACCGAGAATAGATTTATATGTGATGGATTTTTTAAAAATTATTATTTCTGTTATATATGTAAAAAAAAAAGAAGACGCATTTGATAGTGGCATAACTAAGGAAATATCAGATTCAGATAATAAATAATAATATAATAATGATCCAATTTGATTTAATATATATGGAATAATAATGTTTAAATTTTTAAAAATTGAAATAATATCTTTAATTATATTTTTCTCTGTGTTTTCATCTTTACATCCTTTTTTCATATATGCATTCGTGCATCCCCATAAAAATCCAATTACTAAATATAAAATAAAATACATATTAAAACATGTGTATATAATTAATTTAAAAAAATAAAAATAAAAACAAAATAAAACTAAAAAATAAATATATTTATAAAATGTTATGTAAATATTACATGTAAATATATTTCATATCTAAAAAAATATTAAGATGACTTGTACTGATAAAACATGCTTTGCTATTTTTTTTAATTTTTTGTGTGACATGTTCGGAATCAACAAAATGTTTTTTATTTATATATTCATATGATTCCAATTAAATAAATTATTATTTATTATATTTTTAATTTTATTTTTATGATAACATAAATTATTATTTTCTTTTAATTTTGTTTCATATTTTTTTTTTTTTTTTTTTTTTTTTTTTGTGTCGCTTTACTCTTTTTTTTAAAATTGTTAAAAGGAAAAAAAAAAAAAATAAATGTATATATATATATATATATATATATATATGTACCATTATATGTAAACATTGATGCATATTTTTAGATTTAATTAATTCCTTTTTATTTTTTTTTTTATTTTTTGTAAAAAAATAACTTTTTTAAGTATTATTTTTTTTGTAAATTTTCAATAATAAAAAAAAAAAAATTAGGTAAAATATTGTCTTTGCAACACTTAAAATTTATAGTAGCGATTAAAAAAAAATTTATGCAAAATTAGTTTATTTTTAAAATAGTTATTTTTTATATTTTTTTTTTTTTTTTTTTACTTTATGTAATCAGTAAGTGTAAGATATTATTACTTTAAAAATATAATAAATAATGAAAAATATAATTCATCTAATACAGTTTTCTTTAGTATATTTATATGCCATTATTATTTTATACAAATTATTATTCACATTTATAACTTCTTTAAAATAATATATCTTAATTATAAGATCAAAATAACATTTTTTAATATATTGTTATGCTATATATAGATGCTTTAGTTTTTTATTTTTTAGAGTATTATTAGGACATACTGTAGTTATTTTATATTTTTTTCCAAATACTTGTTTTAGATTAATTTATTTATTATTATAAAATGCTGTTAGACTTATCAAATTGTAATTTAAGAAGCTTAGAAGACTGCGATATAATATTAGAAAAATTAATTGAATTGAATTCTGATTATACAAGTATAACATATTTAAATGTTTCAAACAATTTTATAAAATCTATCAAAGGATTAAGGGCTTTTGAAAATTTGAAAGTTTTAAATATCTCATATAATGAACTAACATCATTAGAAGATGATTACATCCCATCATCAACAGAAAAAATAATTGCTGATCACAATTACTTAACAGATATATGCTTTAAAGGTATAAAAAAAAAAAAAAAAAAAAAAAAAGATAGTGAAGACTATGATGAGCATATTAACAAGGAAAAAGGTGAAATTAAAAATCAAAAAGAAATAGAAAAAGGAGAAGATGTAAATAATTTAGCTAGTTGTTCTAATGACTCATTAAATTCTTCTTTTTATGATACTTTCAATAATAATGTATTAAATGAAAAAAGTTCTTATACAAACAAAAATCTTCCCTTAAATAGATTAACTTATTTGGATGTGAGTTACAATAATATTAAAAAATTAACAACATTTGAAAAATATTTACATATTATGAACAAAAAAATGAAAAAAAAAAACGATTGTTATTTGGATGATGTGAACATAAAAAATTATATTTCGAACAAAACAGAACAAGATGTAATGATTTTATTTTTTAATTCATTAGAAACATTATATTTAAGAGGAAACAAATTAACTAATCTAAAGGGATTGAGTGTTTTTAAAAATTTAAAAGTTCTCGATCTTCGTTCAAATCTGATAAATCATCCTGTACAACTTTTTTATATTCTTGATAATAAAGATTGGCTAAAAAAATATCAAGAAAAAAAAATTCATAAAAAAAGCAATAGTTATTATTCTTATTTTGTTTATATTTTAAAAAAATATAAAAATTTTAAAAATTTACAAAACTTATTTTTGCAAGGAAATAAAAATGCATTAAAACCAAAATATTTATTTATGAATGTGTTTAATGTTTTAAGAAACATTAATTCAAAAAGTAAATTAATCACTGATGTAATAAATGAGAATGATTCTTCATCTCACACACAAAATTCTACCATTCAAAAAGAATATTCAAATAATGAAAAAGATAAAAAAAAAGATTCTTTTGATTCTATTATATCAACTACAAGTGAGTTAAATGAGGAAATGCACAATGATTATGTTCAATTATATCTTAATAATATTCAAGAAAAAGTAGGAGATACTGAAGACAGTAATAAGAAAAAAAATATATTGAGAGAAAAAAAAGATGTACATGAAGAAGAAGAGGATAATGTTATGGAGGAAAAAAATGAAATGAGCAAACATGATACAAAAGAAGACCATCAAGATGAAGAACAACTACAACAAAAAAGAAAAATATATCTAAAACGAAAACCAAAAGATGAAGAAGATGAAAATAAACATGAAGACGAAAAGGAAGAGGAAAATGAGGAAACTGAAGAAGAAGAAGAGGAAGAAGATGAAGAAGAAGATGAAGATGAAGATGAAGAAGAAGAAGAAGAAGAAGAAGAAGAAGAAGATGAAGATGAAGATGAAGAAGAAGAAGAAGAAGATGAAGATGAAGAAGAAGAAGAAGAAGAAGAAGAAGAAGAAGAAGATGAAGATGAAGATGAAGAAGAAGAAAATGAGGAAGAGAAATTAAATCAATATCAAAAATTGACAGAAAAAGATGAAAAACAAAAAAAAGAGAAAAAGAAAAAAATAAATCATTATCTAAAACAAAGAGATAAAAAAAACGATAGAAATAGTGAAGAAGAAAAAGAAAATGAAAATGACTATGATGAAGAAAATATTGAAGAAGAGGACGATGAAGAGGAAGAAGAACAAGAAGAGAAAGAAGAAGAGACAGAAGAACAAGAAGAGAAAGAAGAAGAGACAGAAGAACAAGAAGAGGAAGAAGAAGAGACAGAAGAACAAGAAGAGGAAGAAGAAGAGACAGAAGAAGAGGAAAGAGATAAAGAAAGAAAAGAGGAAGAAGTTGAAGAAGAAGAACAACAACAAGAACAAGAAGAGGAAGAAGAAGAAGAAGAAGAAGAAGAGGAAGAAGAAGAAGAAGAAGAGGAAGAGGAATATGAGGAAACTGAAGTAGAAGAAGAACAAGAAGGAGAAAAAGAAGAACAACAAGAAGAAGAACAAGAAGGAGAAGAAGAGGAAGAAGAACAAGAAGAGGAAGAGGAATATGAGGAAACTGAAGAAGAAGAACAACAAGAAGGAGAAAAAGAAGAAGAACAAGAAGAAGAAGAACAAGAAGGAGAAGAAGAGGAAGAAGAACAAGAAGAAGAAGAAGAAGAACAAGAAGAAGAAGAACAAGAAGGAGAAGAAGAGGAAGAAGAACAAGAAGAAGAAGAGGAAGAGGAAGAGGAAGAGGAAGAGAAAGAAGAAGAAGAACAAGAACAAGAACAAGAACAAGAACAAGAACAAGAACAAGAACAAGAAGAAAGAGAAAAAGAAAAAGAAGAAAATGAAAATATAAGAAATGCCAATATAAATAAAATTTTATATAATGATTTTAAAAATAAAAAAAAACATGATGAAAGCATATATACTTCTCTAATTGAAAATAGTTCATCTCATAAAGGTGAAACATTAAAGGAAAAAACTTCATATAATTATGTAAATGAAAAATTAATTAATAATGTAAAAATAAAAAATAATGTAAATGATGATAAATCATCCATGAATAGATGTAGTTATATTCCTGTAGTAACTGAAAACGTTTGCCATGAAGAAAATATTTTAAATAAAAAAAAAAAAAAAGAAAGATCTTTGAAGACAGAATGTTCCCATAAAAATGAAGAAAATCGTCATAAAAAAATTGAAAGAGAAAATATTGGAGATATTAATAATGATAAAACGAGTATGAATAATAATTTCAAAAAAGATAAATATACAGATGATTATGATGAAGATGAAGAAAAAATTGAAAAATTAATTAAAAATATTAACCTGAATGTAACAAAAAATTCTTCTTATTTAGTTTCTTTTTATAACAAACTTAAAGAAGACATGAATATAAAAAATTATGATGATACTAATAATTACAATCTTAAAAAGAATAATGTAGATATAATAAATAAAAACAGCAAATTGAAAAAATTAAAATTGTGTAATATAGATAAATTAAAAGAGTTAAGTGTTGAAATAAATAATTCTGAAAAAGAAAAAAGAATATGCAATGAAGGAAAACAAATAAGTAAACTTAAAATGGGAAAAACAAAGCTTGTTAAAAGTGATTACTTGAAGAAGCATAAAGAAACAGATGAAATTAATAATGAAATAGAAGTAAAAGAAAAAGGTAAGATATGGAATAATGAACAAAATAAGGAAAAAAAATCTGTTATATATGATAATGAAAATAAAAGTAATATCACTGAAAACATTTATACTACTAAAAAGGGAAATGAAAATTCTACAGAAATAAAAAAAAATTCTTTACTAAACGAATCATGTTTTAACTCATATCAAAAAAAAAATAACAAATTAACAAAAAAAAATATTAAAAATAACGATAAAAACAGTTTTTATAACACTCATAATAGCAAATTTAATAAATTAAGTAATAATTTGAAAAAAAAAGAAGTAAATGGAGAAGGGAACGAAGTCATCTATTGTTCATCCACTTTAAAAAATAAAAAACCAAATAATATACTTAAGACGATTTTAAATAAGAATAACGATATTGATAAATCTACTTTAACAAGTTTTTCTTCAATTGGCAGTGATATCTTTGATAGTGACTGTGAAGAGAATGATGAACCCCATGAAAATGAAAATAAAGAAATATCTGATGTAGTAAAGAATGACAAAAATAGAAATGTTGTAAGAAACATCATTTCAGATACATTTTTAGAAAAAAGAGAAAAAACTTTTCACAAGAATAATTCTAATCTTAAAAAGTTTGTTTTTACTAGAAAGGACTGTTATGAATTTAACAAAAATAAAAAAAGTTTAAATAATGATAATGTGAATTGTTACAACGATAAAATTATAAATAGGAAATATAATATAATTAATAATAACAAAGAAATTAAGAAAAAAGAGAAAATGAACTCAGAAAAATCTGAAGATAAAAAAGGTGAAAGAAATAGTATAAAATATGAATATGAAGATGAAGAAGAATATGATTATAAAGATGTACAGCAAAAAGGAGAAAAAAATATTAATAATTATATGAAAGACAACATTTTGAAAAAAGAAAAAAGAACAAAGGATGAAATAAAAAATTTAAGTATAAATAATAGAAACGAAATAAAAATATGTGAAAAGAATAAAATTAATGAAACAAATGGAGATTCAAAAGAAAAAATAGAAAATAAAATATATGAAAAAGATAAGAATGAATGTAAAGAATATGAAGAGAAAGAAGAAAATGTAATATCATCCGATATTAAAAAAAAAGAGGATATAAAAAATGAAAAAGAAAAAAATAAAGAAATATTCAAAGGTTTATTAAAAATTGATTTATATAAAGATGAGAAAACAGAAAACAATAACAAAAATAATAAAACTAATAACTGTGAACTTTTAAATTCAAAAACAAAAAAACCAAATAATTGTTCATCATCTCTTAAATCGGAATCTACAGATGTAACTGAAAGAAACACAAACAGGGAAAACATTAGAAAAGATAAATTTTTACTAAAAGATTATGTTTATGAAAATAATTTAGGAAATACAAATAATTTAAATGAATTAAAAATTTCAAAAGAAAATAATATATGTGCTTATCCTATTATTTTACAAAATAGTAATATAAAAAATATAAATGAAAACTTATATAACGAAATTTTTATAAATAATAAAAGTAATTTTTTAACCAATAATCACATATCATCTATGAATAAAACTAATTTATTAGACAGTAGAAATGTTAGCATAAAAAACACTGATATCATAAACAGTAAAAATAAAAATGATGAAGGTAGTGAAAATAAAAAAATAAGTATTATACCAAGTAATGAAAAGAATTGTTCATTAAATAGTTTAGATAATTCAAATAAAATGAAATCTTTAGAAAATTTAAACACTAAAGATATTAATTTAACCAATAATTTGGCTTTATATTTAAAAGATGTATGCTTTAAATTAGGAAAAGAAAAGCAACATAGTGATATATTATTAAGGGAAAATAAAAAATTAGAAAATGAAATAAAATTGTTAAATGAGAATAAACAAAGATATAAAAAGAAAATAAAAAATCTAGAAAAAAATTTTAATGAGAAAAATAAAATTACCAAAAGATATCAAAATATGAATGAAAAATTAAAATCAATTGAGAAAATTAAGATAGACTTACCCAAAGATGACATAAATTTACAAAACAAATATATTGAAAATACAATGGAACAATTATATGTAATATTTTTAAAATATATAAAACTATAAAATTTTTAATAGAAATATTTTTTTTTCTTTTTCTTCATTTTTTAGAATATATTTTCTGACACCTTTGGCGAAAATCATATAATAACCAAAAAGTTAGAGAAATCTAAGAAAATCAAATAATTTAAGATAAATAAGAATAAAACTAAATGCATATTTATACTTTTTTCTTTTTTTATAGAATAGAAAATTTAGCAGATGTATACATTAAAAAAGAAAAAAAAATAGAAATTCAAATGATTGCTCAAAAGAAGGTTTAAAAAAAAAAAAATATGTGTATATATATGTGTTTTTTTTTTTTTTATTATAGAGAAATTTTAAATGAGTAACTAAATATTTTTTTTTCTTAATTTATTCAGGAATTAGATTTATTAAAAAATGTAGAAGAAATAGTTAAAAAAAAAGACGAATATTACAAGGAATTATTGAAAAAAAATGAAATTATCAAAAGGTATATTTTTTTTTAGTGTAAATATAAAGAAATTTACTATTTTATAGCTAGTTTTTTACATTTACTTTATATATATTTTCCTTTTTTAGCTTAAATAGCAATTTAACTGAAATAACAAAAAGTGTTTCCGATATGAAAAATAGTATTATTGAAAATGAAAGCAAATCAAAAAAATTACTAATGGAATTATCAAAAAAGGATACCTTATTAAAAGATTTAGAAAAAAAAAACAGTTTTATAATTGTACTTTATATGCATATATATAATCTCTAAATATGAAAAACAATTTTGGATAAAAAAAAATTTATTTTTTTTTTTTTTTTTGTTAGACTGAAAAAGAAAAAAAATTTGAAAAAGAAAGGACACATTTATTGGGACTCTTAAATGATAAAGGTAATAAAACTCTATATATATGTATATATATTAAAATATATTAAAACGATAATATTTTATCTATTTTTTTCATAATCTTAAAATGTGTAATTTTTTAATAGAAGAAAAAATTAAATGTATAGAACTATACAAAGATGAAATAAAAAGTCTTGAAGAGAAATTAAAAAATTATCTAGATAAAAATGTAAATAAAATAAGTGATAAAAATTATGAGAAAATTGTTGATAAATTACATGATCAACAAATAAAAATGCACTCACTATTAACTCAAAAAGAAAAAATTATAAATGAAAAGAATATACAAATTGAAAATTTAGAATCACAATTACAGTCATGGGCAGATGAAGCAACCAATTGGATTGTTGTAGCGGACAAACATACAAAACTTATTAAAAATCATAATATATTAAAAGTAATTTTAAAAAAATAATTAGAAAAAATTCATAATAATTCTACAAGTATATATATTCAGTATTATATAATTTTAACCTATGTATTTTTTTATTTTAAATATCTTTTTCTTTTTTTGTAGAAAAATTATGAAGAATTAAAGTTTAAATATATAATGGATATGAAATATGTTCAATCAACCAAAAATGAGAAAGTCAAAGAACTCATACAAAAATTTTCATAATTTCTCTCAAATTACAAAAAAAAAAAAAAATAACAAATTTATATATATAATAAATGTGTAATAATTTTATGGTTAACAAAAAGGAAAAGAAAACTTAAAAAAAAAAATTTTTTTAAATAAAATAAGAATGTATTATTATACAGTTAATTTTTGTATGAAATATATGTTTATATATATGTATATATGTACATATATTTTATGTTTTTTGTTTTCTCCTTTTTTTTTTTTTGTGTTATATTTAAAGTATTATTTCCGTTTTAAGTTGCTTTCATTTATAATTATTTAAGATTTTCTTTTTTAATTTTTTATAAATGTTTATATCTTTTTTTTAAATATTGTAAAATCAATTTTAAAAAAGATAATATATTTTTCAATAAACAATAAATCAACATTAATAAATTTAAAGTATTTAAAATCAGATTTAAATTTTATAGGTAATTAAGAAATTAAAAAAAAAAAACTATGAAATGTTTAAAAATGAAAAGTAAATATTAAAAGTTCCTTAAGAGTTAAAATTATATGAAAAGCATCCTTTTATATGAAATTAAGTGCACTTTGAAAATATGAATTGAATTTATTAATAATAATACTTAAAAAAAAAAAAAAAATAAAAATAAAATAAGCCTTTTCTTTACATCTCATTTTTTTTTTTTTTTTTACTTGAAAATATTTATAATACTATATTTTAAATATTTTAATTATAAAAATATATAACAAGCTGTAGGATATATATATATATATATATATATTTTTTTTTTATAATTATATTTGTAATTTTTATTCTATAACAAAATGAATATATATTTATTTTTTTTTAATTAACATATTACCAAAATTATTTTCTTTGTTTCTTTTATATATATATAGTTTATACTTCATAATTTACATATACATTTATTCATAAATTTATCATCATCTATTTTTTTTTTTTTTTTTTTGAAAAAACTAATCCTCATCAATATTTGAAAAAAAATTTTGTTAGCTTATTTATATTGTTCATTTTCTAAAAATGGTGGAGGAAGCAGAAATTGAAAATAATGTAAGTGAAGATAAACCAGTAAGTTTTGAAGAAGAAGTAGAAACCTTTTTAATTAATTTACATGATTTTGTGTATCATCGTAATGCTGACGCTATTAAAAAGTTATTTGATACTGATTTTTATACAATATCAGAAATATATTTTAAGAACATTAGATGGCCATCTATTAAATTGGTAGATAATTTTTATAAGCAGAAAAACAGATTTCATAATTTAATTCATTCTTTATATGAAGAATTATATTATCGTCATGTTTTTATAATAAATGATGTAACATTAGAAGATCGTAAAAATGCATGGGATAATTATAAATGCCTATTAAATTTTATTACAACTATATGCACTGACTTATCAGGAGATTCTAATGATAATGTTTTAGTTATGCCACATGTATGGATATATGATTTTTTGTCTGAATACGTATATCAATATCAATCAATGTGTCATTTCAAGGTAGAATTATTAAAAGAACCAGAAAAAAATTTGAAAGGTATAGATTTTATAATAAAAAATTCAGAAGTGTTTGAAAGCAGTATAGTATTAGAAGTATTGCATAGTTTATTATTAAAAGCAGAATTTACTTCATTGCCAGAAGAAGAAAGAAGTACCTTTGTTAATAATGTTTTTAATATTAATAATGATGATTTAACAAGTAAGTATCAATTTGGTTATTTTGCTTGCTGTATTTTATTAAATTTATATGTTTTAATGGGAGATTATCACACTGCCTTAAAAATTATATCCAATATCGAATTAAATCATAAAGCGCTATACTGGAAAGTTACAATATGCCATATAAGTATTTTTTATAATATTGCTTTTTGTTATATGATGTTGAAAAGATATAATGATAGTATTAAAATTTTATCACAAATATTAATATATTTATCAAAACAAAAAATACATTTATCTAACCAACAAAGATATCAACAAAGTTTAATACATAAGCTTATCGATAAAATGTATTTAATCATCATTATTTGTCATTCTTTAACTAATTCTAGATTAGATGAAACTATACTACAAAATATAAAAGAAAATTATTCAAATAAATTTTATGCTCTGCAATCAGCTAATGAACAAACATATGCAGATTTATTTTTTAGAGTTGCACCAAAATTTATTGATCCCTTATCAAATATTAGTTTTCAATTACTAGCTAATTTTCAAAATCTTCAAAATCAAGCATATAATTCAGATCCAACCTTAAGACAAATGTACATATTTTTAAAAGATGTTACATATCAAAAAAAAGCATTTTATTTTATTTCTTATGCGAAATTGTACCATAATATACAACTAAAAAAATTAGGAGATTTAATGAATTATAAAGATGAAGATGATGAGAATGTCTGTTCGGATATTATGTGTGTCAAAAATTGCAGTAAGCAGTTAATATGGAAAGATGGCCCTTTGTACACAGGAGAATCTATTACGCATAACTTTGGGAGTTCCTTTGATTTTTATATTGATTTAGATATCTTAAATATAAAAACAAAAGCACAGCAAAAAATTTTTATTGATTATTTTGTTCATCAAATAAGTATGTGTAAAAATCTTTTAAATAACTTACAAGGAAATGGTTATAATCACATGTACAGAACAAAATATGATCATTTCAGAAGAAAAAATAAAAACAAAAATAAAAACAAACAAAATAATCCTCAAATAGCAGTGGAATAAAGAGTATTATTTTATATATATATATATATAAATTTATTTATTTACCCGTATTTTTTAAAAATAATAAATTAATAAATAAATAAATTTTATCCATGTATCTATTATTTCTTGTAAAAAAAAATAAAACAAAAATGATACAATATAAAACAAACATATATATATATATATACATTTGTGCAGCAAATAATTCACTATTATTTTTTATTAATTTTAAGATAATTTTTACGAATATATAATTTTTTTTCTCTATAAAATTTTTAATCTAAAAAATAAAAAGGAATGAACTTTTAGAAATAAAACAAAATTAATATATAAAACATGATTGTTTTATATTTTTAATTAATTTATTAGTACACTTTTCATGGTTTATCATTACAAAATTATTTTTATCAAAATATTATTTGTTAAAATACTTCTTAAATATTTCTTACTTTTAAGTTTTACACTAAGTAATTCTTTTATTTTTTATATTTACCTGCATATATTATACAATGAATTTTAATATTATATGTAAATTTCCTAGTTTAATGTATTTTTCAAAATTTTAACATTTTTTTTACACTATCTTTTAATTGTATTTTCTTCTCAAAAACAAAGAGAAAAAAAAATATATATATATAAATGAAATGTGAACACTTATTTTTTATAGTAAAAAAATATATACATATAAAAATAAAGATATATAAAGTTTTTTATTTTGCTAGTTTATTTTTCCCTTTTGTTCTTTAAAAATGAGTGAAACGGGTTTCATTTCTTACCCCCCCCCTCAACCAGACTTTTGGATTTATTTTGCCAAATATCTAAGAAATTTTTGGGTTCAGGTAAAGTTAAATGAAACCATGTACATATGTAAATATATTCACTTACAAGTATATATATTAATACTTTTTTTTTTATTCTTTCATATTCTATAAATCTTGAAATGCTAAAAAATGTAGTGGGCTATAGTTTTTGTTCCTTTTATTCTTTTTACTCTTTACTTAAAATTTACAATGCGTAAGAAAAAAGAAACAGAAAATTTATTGTATATTTTAACAACTTTATAAATATGAAAAATGCTAAAGATAAAAATGAATACAACATTTGAATAAAAAACTTTCTTAAAAAAAAATATATTGAGAATTTAAATTAAAAAATATTTCATCCTTTATTCTTTTTTTTTTTTTTTTTTTGTAATGCTTCTGTAGCTTCTTATCATATAAACGAAAAAGAAAGCCTAGAAGATTTAGATATCGATGAAAAAAAACAAACCAAAATGGCGAAAAATAACATAAAGAGAAGCTTTTATAATTCATGAATGTTCTTATAATGGTTGTTCAATCTTTTATATATAATTTTTTTTATTATAAATGTTTAAAAAAATATTATTTTATTTAAAAAAAAAAAATTTGTAAAATATATATAGGAAAAAAAAAATTATAAATAGTATAGGTTTATGTTAAAATATATATATATACATATATAAATAAACAATTTTATAAATAATTTAATAATATAATGATAAAAAGTTCAACAAAAAAATAATAGTATTTTTTTTTCTCTTTTTTTTAATGTAAAAAAGAGATAAAAATAAGCATAAGTAATTTAATATAAATATAGAATGTGGACTGTAAGCATTTTAAAATAAAAGAGTAAAGAAGTTTTCTTAATTCACTAAAATTTTGAAATTAAATCTAAAGCATTTTAATCCTTATTGGACAAGTTTTTTTTTTGGCGAAATTTAGATATCTGAATAAAGAAGCAAAAAAAAAAAAAAAAAAAAATAAGTATATAACAAAATTAAATAAATAAAAAATAATTTTAACGTTAAAAAAAATAAAAAAAAAACTAATAATAATTCATAAATTATACCACTGTATCTAAAAATAATTTCAATTTTACTAATATATAAAATGTCATAATATATTTTATTTTATTTTTAATTACCACAGTTGCAAATCTCTCTTTTAATTTTTCATTTTTAGCTATACAATTATCAGGGCCATAAGGTGGTTTAATGCTAACTTCACCATTTAGTACTAAGATGTCTTTACTGTTCCATACACAATCAGGATGCCTATAAAAAAGAAAAAAACACACACATATATATATATATATATAGAGAGAGAGAGAAAGAGAGAATAAAAAGTAACTAATATATATTATACATTTAATAAAAATATGAAAAATATGTATGTTTTTTTTTTTTAATCTAAGAAATTTAAGGCAACTATTTTATTATTAAAACAAATTTTATATTAAAAAAAAGAATATATATATATGTAATGTACTTCACTATAAATACTTTTTCTTTTCAATTTACGTTTTCCATATAAAATCAAATAATTCTTGTGCTTCTTGTGTTACTCCAATTCCAATGCGAGATTTGTTTTTTTCAAAATTAATTATAGCTTTTCTTTCAATTTTTTCAACTATATTTTTATCAATTATGGGTAAAGGCTCATATAAAGTTTTTACTCTTCTTTTTGTTTCAACATCTGTGATTATATTTGTCCTAATTATATAAAAATTTGCTGTACCATTTTTATTATCTTCTTTTATTATGATGAAATTTGAAGAAGTATCATAGCAATATAATTCCCCTTCAAATGTATGACCATCAGAAGTTCTTGTAACTATTGTATGACCAAAATATAAGGATGGATCAAAAATTTTCTTGACCATATTACAATTTTATGGATTGTTCATATAAGTTTTAGAAGTCTATAAATTATCTGCTTTTCTTATTTATTTTCATTTGAAATTGGAATCGCAAAATAGTTAACTACATTTGCATAAAGTTTAAAACTAAATTATCTAAAAATGTACAAAATATATATATAAGTTTATATTTCTTATATTTCAAAAAATGAAAGAAAATCAAATATTTTAAGAAGTTACATCAAAATATTATAAGAAAATTATAAAGTCATATTTTTGTGTGCAAAGAAAAAAAAAATTTTTCGTATATATATGTATGCTTACTATAATGGTGTATTAAATTTTTTGTAAAAGTTATTTGAATTTACCGATATAAAACTAAAATAAAATTCTTTTAATATTTCGTATTTTAAATAATATATAAATATGCATTACTTAATGTACAATTTTATGTGGAAAAATTATGTTTTTTTTTTATCGTTACTTTTTTACTTTTTTTGTATTAAAATATAAAATTAAAATAAAATAAAATAAAATATTTATGAAAAACATAAATCAAAAAAATAAAATTATCAAATATATAGATATAATGATAACAGTTTAAAATAAAAACATTAAAAAAAAAAAATAAATAAAACAAATTATCAGTTAATATATATTTACAAAACGATAATATTATATATATCTTCCTAAATAGCTATATCATATATATGACAGTTAATGTTTTAAGAATATAGAAATAGTGTACAATTTTTTTTTTTTTGTGAATAATATGCCGATTCCACCAAAAAAAAATAAAAAAGAATATATAATTAAAAATATTATATAAAAATAATTTTTCTTTAAGATAAAAGAAATGTAAAATAAAACAAGATTTTACAAGAATACATATAAAATAAATAATATATTTAAGAGCATGTTCTATATTGAAATTAAAATTCAATATATTTTGTCCCTAACTCTAATATTAATTTTATAGTTATATTTATGTTTAAAAATTATTATTACATAAAATAAAAAAAAAAGTTATTCTTTAAAAATAAAAAATTACATAACAGAAAAGATAGAAGTTTAGTTTCTATATGTACATATATAAATAAATATATATATATTTTAGTAATATGGAGATAAGTACATAAATATATTTAAAGTTATTCACTTTTCACTAGTTGAAACCCATTAAGGGTAGCTTTTTTTAATGAAAATTTATTAATTATATATGTTAGTATTTATACTAATATATATAATATTTATATAATTTATTCAATTTATTAAACGTATGCTAATTTTGAAACTAAATTTTTATACTTATATGTACTTGTATACTATAGTGTGAAGTTCTAAAAAATAAAACATAAATATAATGCACGGTTTTATAAAAATTTTAATGCCATTAAAGAAACAATTACATTTAACTTATAATAAAAAATATAAATAAATGTAAAACGTACATTTTATTATAAAATACCTTTTTATTACATCATTTTTATAAATGATTATAATGCATAGACCATATACTTTTTAAATGTTTTTAGTAATAAAAATAGAAAAAATATGTATTCACTAGAATATATAGAAAATAATATAAAAAATTAAAACAACATTGTTTAATTTATACATTAAGTATGAATAGTAACTGGTAAATTTCTAATATTTTTTTAGAATAAAAATGCCATATTTTTTTTCATTTATATGTAAAACAATTTATCGAAATAATATATTTAAATTTACCACTAAGTTTGAAATAAAGCTCAAAATATAAAATATATTGAATTGAAATCTTTTGATAAATAAAAACAATAAATAAAAAAAAATTTGCTTTTTCATATTTTGAAATATTTGAAAAAAATAGTTAAAATGATGATAAAGTTTTATGAAAAACTATCTTATGTATGTTATTTACTTGATTTATAAAATAATAAAAAAAAATCTTCAAAAAAAAAAGAATTTTCAAAAAATATTAAGAATTTTTGTTTAATTCGAAGAATATTGCATACAACTGATTTTTCTATTATGTTATATTATTTATATTGATAAATCCATTTACTTTTTCATTAGATTTTATTTATTATTTAAAATACAAAAATTAAATTTTTTTTACTTGCAATATATATATAGATTCAGTTGTAGCAATTTTAATACTTAATAAAATGTTCTATTTTTTTATTTCTATTTTTTTTTTTTTTTTTTTTTCATATTTAAACAAAATTTTTATAAATATGAATGCTACTGGTTTTCCCTAAAAAAATATAAATTAAAACATAAAACTATAATTTTTAATATAGCTCGTCAATAAAAAATAATATACATCACAAAAAAAGAAATAATGTTTAAGAAAATAAGTATCTACTTCAGAATGATTAAAATATCTACATATATCAAAATAAAAAAAAAAATTGCGTACATAATATTAATGTTCATACAAATTAACTCAAAAAATTATACTTATTCGTATAATGTTCTTAAAAAGAAATATTATTGGAAATATACTCAAGAAGAATAAGAATGTACGTATTTTTTTATATAAAAATTAATAAAATGTATCCAATTTCAAAATAAATACATTTTTTTTTCATTCATTTCGAAATAGTTGCTTAATATTTATATACATTAAAAAAAAAAAAAAAAATGAATGTATAACATAATAAAATTTTAATTTTTTATAGCATTTTTTATTAGAATTTTTATTGCAATTGTATTTTTCTTATATATTTTATATAAAAAGGCTAATTTTAATTTGTTTCTTAACTTGTTTTTTTACTCAACATGTATTTTATCTGTGAATTTTTCTCAAAAAAATTTATTTTTTTTTTTTTTTTTCAACACTCTTATAAAACAATCTTTATAACAAATAATATTTTTTGTAAAAATACGAAAAAAATAACTAGTATACATATATATATATATAGGCATATCTCAATTATTAATTATTCTAAACGCTTATTATATGGTATATATAAAAAATTTTAATAAATGCATGTGCATTATTTTTATATTTTCTTTTATTATTATATTTTAGATTATTTTTTTTTTTTATTTTTCACCAAAAAAAAAATCTACTGTATTTGTTTGGCATAAAAAAGGAAAAATTTTAATCGATTTATAAAAGAATGTGCTACAACTTAATATCCTAATTATTCATACTTACATATTTTTTTTTATGAAAAATATTAACCATTTTTGAATATTTTCAATACATTTTTGAATGTTTCATATAAAAAAAGTAATACAAAGAAATAAAATAAACATATATTTTATTTTTATAAATTATATACACGATTATTTTCATTAATTTTATATTATTTATGGTACCATATATCTACTAATAAAAATATTTATGCAAAAATACTTACATTTTTTTATATTTTAAATATATGAATCAAACTATTTATGTATTTTGTTCTATATGTTATTTTATGACTTATTCTTAAATGCAAAATATCTTCTGTAATTTTATTTTTTTTAACTTTTTATTTATTTTAGGCATAAAATTTTTTCTTAATTTTATTTAACTTATACGAATAAAATTATATGAATTATTTAGTGAATATTATGAATTATACATTTTTCTTATAAAATATTTATATATGTGTACAATTTGTTCCTTTTTATTTTGCTTAACTTTTATTTTGTTCTTTTAAATTTTGTTTTTATTTCATTTCCTTTTTTTTTATTTTCTTTTTATTTTTCTCATTTATTTTTCTTTTTTTTTATTCTTTTTTCCTTTCATCTTTTTCTTTTCTCTTTTCCCTTCTTTTTGCTTTTTACTTTTTTTTTTAATTTCTTTTTTTTTTTTTTTTTTTTTTTTTTTTTGTTTCTATTTTATTTTATATTCATTTATTAGCCAATTAGGATTTATATTGATGCTATTGTTGATCTAACGAATAAAATTGAAATTTTTAAAGAAAACCAAAAGAAATAAAAAATGAACATTTTAATGAGGCATTTCATTTTTATAAAAGTCTATTTTTTTATTTACTTATGAATTAAAAAATTACACTAAATTTTTTTTCTCCTTATCACTTAATGAAGTATTGTTAAAATTGCATTTATTAATAATTTTTCTTGCTGTATTTTTTTATTTTTATATCGCCAAAAACATTTATTAATCACTTATATGCACACCTAATTGTAAAGGAAAAAAAAAAATTTTACTGCTATGATTAAAAAATTTTTTTCTTCCCCTTTCTGAAAAAGCTTGAATTTTTTTTATTGTTGATTATAAAATATTTAAATATATATACCCCATATTCATGATTTTTTTTTTTAAATTGTGTAGAAATGCCTTGATAAAAAAAAAAATATATAAAAATTACGCAGACACATTGTTTTTTCACGATTTTCATTTTTTGTTCAATTAAATATTCTGCATTGATTATTTTTCTTGCATTTCAATCCTTTTCTTTTAGATTTCCACATATAAATATCGTTTCATTTATATACATTTTTTCAAATTTTATGTTTATATATATATATATTTTTTTTTTTTTATATATATATCTAGATATATAATATTTTTTAAATAAATAAATATATAAATATATATATATACCTTATAAACACCTTAAAAAAAAATTTATGTGTATAATCATATATATATATATATTTTTGAGGAAATTATAAACATGATTATCACATTTTCATTATTTGCCGTTTTTTTCTCTCCCATATAAAATATATTTATGTATTAGCAAATTACTAGTGTAAATTTTTTTTATATTTATACAATTATATATATATATATATAGATAGATAGATATATAGATATAGATATAAATATATTTTTTTTATATCATTTTCTTTTTAATTTTTATAAATATCTATTTTATTGGTCACATAATTGCTATTATGTTTTAAAAAAAAAAGAGATATTTATAAAATAAAAAAAGATGGAAAGAAATTATAATGTTGATAGCAAAAACACATGCATAAGAAAAGTTGATTATATTAATGATGAAGTTAAAATGAATAACAATTATATGAATAATATTACTAATTACGATATGCAAGAATCATTAATTACAACAAATCCTGAATATAAAAGTGTTTTCAATGAACATGGTATTAACCCTTATGATTATAACATAATAATGAAACAAAATAAAGTTTGTGAAAGTAATATGCATGTTCTCAATAAAAATGTTAATAATAAAGGTAATAATTTCGTTGATGACAAAATATATAATTCTTTCAACTTAAAAAAAAGGTCAAATATAAATAATATGAATCAGATGAAAAATTTGCAAAATAATTTATCGTATATAAACGATTGCGAAAATGTATATAATAAAAAATTTGTCAATAATAACGTTGAATGTAATAATATAAATCAGGTAAATGCAAATTCAAACAAAATGCAAAATTTATATTTAAATAAAAATTTAATTGTTAATAATAATTTATACGAAATTAATGAAAAACAAAATAATATTAATTTACCTAATTATAATCAATATAATTCTTCAAATAACATAAATCAAAATATGAATCAAAGAACTGATTATAATAATAAAATTATGAACATAAATAAATTAAGAAATTTTAATTCATGTGATAATTTAATATCAAATGAAAATGAAATAATGAATAATCATCCCAATAATGTAGTAACCAATATACATCAAAATAATATGTTAAATAAATTGAATATAAATCAAATGAATTGTGACTTAAATAATAATATGGCAAATAAAATTCATTTAATGAAAAATTCAAATATTGATGAAATGAACAGTGAGAATGTAAACCATAATTATACCTTATCTCCTAATTATTATGATGATAATAACATGATTAGAGGTTATAATAGTAACAATAATAATAATAATCAAAATAGTGTTTTTTATCCAAACAATATTATTGCTGATAAAATAGGAATGAACATAAATAATATATCTGATAATAACAGTGACGAATATAAAATTTCTCCAAATAAGCAAGATACATTAATTGAAGTTACAAAAAGTATGATAATGAATAATGTAAATAATCAAAGCAAACTTAATAAGTTAAATTTAAATGCAAATATTATATCATCTCCAAATAGTAATCAAAATAACCTAAATGTTAATTATAATGAAACCATAAAAGATGTAAATTATATGAATTCTTTAAATAGTAATAATCAAATAGTTCATAACAATAATAATAATAGTAATGAGGAGTGCAATATGAATGATGTTAATAAAATAAATAGCAATATTATAAATAACTTAAGCATGATAAATGATTATAATAAAAATATGAAAATGAATGAATTAGAAAAGAAAGCACATAATCAAAACACAACTCAAAAAAATATAACAAATTACATGAATCAATATGTAGTAAATTATGATAATTCTGCAATAAAAAATAAAATAAATAATTTTTCCAAACTTCAAAATGTAAATAATAATAACAGTAATGTTATAAATAATTTTCCAAATGTTTTAAATGTACCATCTCAAACCTTTAAAAAAATAGAAAATCAAATTCCAAGAAATAACAATAATTATATGAATGTACTAAATAGCTATAATAATAATAATAATATTTATAATAATGTGAATAACATTAACATGGGAAACAATTTTAAAAATAATCAAGAGGTGTTAATTAATTCAAAAAATGTTACAGAAAATACAGATAATGAATCATATATAAGTTTAAATAACCATTTAAATAATCAAAATAATGTAAATGCAATGAAACAAAATGTTATAAATAATAATAAATTAAATGGAAATTATAACATGAACATATTAAATAATAATTTAATACAAAATGATATCACAAATAGAGCACCAAAAAAAATAAATAAGCAATTAAATTTAATGAAAAATATAAATATGATACAAAAAAATAATTTTTCTTTAAAAACAGATAAGAATGATGTTACTATAAACAATTTAAATACATATCAACAATATCAGAATAAAGAGGTAAATAATAAAGTTAATTTTACGAACAACTTAATTAATAACAACAATTTTAATATATATAACAACGTAAATAATACTGATCAAGTAATAAACAAAAATGTGGAAAATAGTATGAGTGTGAATAAAATCATCAATAATAATTTAAATACAGCTAAAAATAATAATTTAAATCCCAATATGAGTAATATAAATCCCAATATAAATAATATAAATACTAACAATAAAACATTACAAATTAATAGTCCATTAAAAAATATATCTTCCTTACCATCATCCACTAATTATAATATAAAAAAACTTTTATATTCATCAAAAATAAATTCACCAAATTTATACTCTTCTAAAACAATTGATTACTCTTTAAATAATTCTATTAATAGCTCAGCAAACTACCTAAATAATAATCTTTTGAATAACAATTTAATGAACAATATTAATGAAATTGATAACATAACTAATAACTTAGCAAATAATATAACAAATAACATAACAAATAATTTGCAAATTATTAATAACAATAATGTTACTCAAAAAATAAATAATAACATATCAATTAATGTATCAAATGATTTAAATAGCAATTTAAATAATCTAAAAAAGTACAAAAATAATTTATTAAATAATTTAAATGATTTTTCCAATATAAGTGATATGGATAAATTAATTAAAAATTCTGATAACTCTGATAATTTTAATGAGTTTGATAATTCTAAAAATCTCTTAAGTTCTTCAAATTTAAATGATCCTAATTATATAACAAAGGATAATAACATTGCATACAAAGGAATATTAAATAATGGTATGATTATGAATGATCAAATCTCAAATAAAAATAACGAGTTACAACCTAATTATTATTTATTAAATAATAATGATCACATTAACCCTAATAATGATAGTAACCTGAATAATACAAAAAGTAATTTAATGCTAAATGCAAATTATGACATTTTAAAAATGAAAATGATTTCAAAAAATGATAAATTAAACTTAATTGATATGAAAAATGATTATAATAATGTTACTAGTGATAATATTCTAAATAACAACCTAATGAAGCAAAGAAAAATACCACCATTAGAAGTACTTAATTCATATAATAATTTAGATAATACTTTAATTAATAATAGTAACAATAATAATGTTAACAGTATTATTAACAACAATTATAACAATAACAATATAAAAAATACATCAAATATTAATTGTAATAATTTTTATGATTCAGATATACATTCTCGATTAAATAACAATGTCAATATGAAAAATAGTTTAAATGCAAACATACTAAATAACACCAACAGTATAAATGAAACTTCTAATATGTATGCAAATATAAATAATAATAAAATTATCAATTCTCCTACAAATGATAAGAATGACATTGATAGCATAAAATACGAATTATTAAATAATTTAAATACGAATATTACTAACAATAATATGCCATTCAATGAAATTCAAAATAACAAAATAATTGTTTTAAATAATAAAATGGGTAAAAATATATTATCTGATGAAAATAATAAAAATTGCTTATCATCTGATTTAAATTATCTAAAGAACGAATATAACAACAAATCAAATTTAGAACAAATTGTCAGAAATACAGAGGTATTAGCATCTCCCAATAGCACACCTCCTATTCATTATGATAAAAATGAAAATATCTATTCAGATAGAAAAAACAATTTTAATGATATTTATGGCACCATGACAAACAATAAAAATAATATGATACATTTAAATAAAGTTATATATACAAAAAATAATAATAATAATGAAAATCAAATAATGAATAATATGAATAGAAATAACTTATTAAGTCTACAGAAAATAAATCGCATGAATACTTCTGATGTTAATAATAATAATGTTAATTTTATTAACAATTTAAGTAATAACAATGATAATAAAAGTAATAATATCAATATCCCTAAAGAAACTATGTTTTTAAACAATGATGAGAAATTGGCTGTTCATGATATTAAAAAAATACGTAATAAAGTACCATCAAATTATTCTTCTGTGAACTATTTAAATAATGATATAATAAAACAGTATAATAGTAACAATATAAGTAATTTCAACAATTTAAATTCATTAGGAAACGAAAATAATTCAAATATGAAAGAATTTAGTAATTCAAATAATATGAATCATATGAATATTCTTAATAATACAAATAACTATAATGAAATGAATAAAAATAATTTCTCTTATATAAATGATAATAATATTAATAATAATGATCATAATAATGTTAACTATGGTTATGAAAATAATATTTATAAAGAATTAATCTCAAACAATTATGCGAATAATAATGAAGAATTAAAGAAAAATAATAATAATAATAATAATAACACTATTAATAACTTTAATAATACATATGAGTTTATATCAGAAAATAATAAAAATAATTATTTGCAATATATTATTAACAAGACAATTGATATGCCAACAAATAGTAACATAAAATCACCATTAAATTTAAAAAATTTAATTAATATTAATAATAATTTTAATTTATTGATGAATAATTTAAACTCTCCTTATATAAATAATTATTTAAATAATGAAAATGGTATTAATAACAATAACATTGATAATAATAATAATAATAGTAATAATAACAGTAATGCATTTCTTTTTAATGATAAAATAAATATACAACAAAATCAAATAAATGTATTAAATGATAATTTAAAAACAAATAAAAATAACACTAATAATATGTTAAATGATGTGAATTTAAATAATAAAAATTCAAATAATTTATTACATGAGAATGTAAATTTAAATATGGATCAATCATCCATGAATTTTTGTATGCAAAAAAATATGTACATTAATAATGAAAAATTACATAATATATATGATTCGTATTTAAAAGAAAACGCATCAGTTAAAAATAATAATATATCAAATAATTTCTGTAATTATGAAAATCAGAATAATATAATATATTCAATAAATCGTAATTTATTAAAACAAAATACAAGTAATGCTAAAAGAAAAGGAAATAACATGAATATTGTAAATAAAGACAACTTTCCGTTAAATAATGTTAATTTAATAACTGATATGAAATCTAATGTAAAAAATATTTTAGATTATGAAATGAAAGGGAAAGAAAATTTTTTTAATAACACAAATACATTAAATGAAAATATACTAAATTTAAATATGAATCAAAATAATCAAGAAATAAAATTTAGTTATCACAGAAATATTAATAAAAGAAAAAAGACAGATGATAAATATAATGATTTAGCAAATAGTGCAGATTCTTTAAAAAGTTCGAAACGATCACGAAAAAAAAAAAAAGCAAACGTTAATTTTTCATCAGCATCATCAAATAATGATGCATTATCAATATTATCAAAAAGTAACAAGACTATAAGAATTCCAAAAAATAAATTACAAAAACAAAAAAATTATAATTTAACAAATACTATAAATCAAGAAATTGATCTCAGTAACTCTTCATTAAATGTACAAAATAAAGATATAAAACCCATAAGTATTGACCTAAATAAAAATGAAGATAATTACTTGAATATAAAAAATTATAATGAAATAATTGATAATTGTACTGTGATAAATGTTGATCGTTCTGTAATGAACAGTAAAGACGTTACAGTTGTAACTGATAATTTAATTGATGAACCAGTAATATTAAAAGAGAATAACGTATTGGATAAATTAAATAAAAATTATACACAACAAAATGTTGAAATTATCAATAATATTAATAATGATAACAATATGAACAACAGTGTAAGTAATAATTATATAAATAATAATAATGAGAATAATACAAATAGGAATGTTAATAACACTAACATAAATAATAATATTGCAAATAATTATAATAAAATAAATAGCAATATAAAGAATGATATTAATGTAAATAATAATAATAATATTCTTGATGATCATAATAATATATATAATTATACTTGTAAAAACAAAATAAACACGATTATTAGAAATTCTGTTACTCCACAATTAGATATTAAAAATTCTGAAACAGAACTTAATCATATAAATGAATCTTTATGTGATAACAAAGAAAATAATGGTAATTTAACAAAAAATGAAAATTTCTCATTTTCTAATAAAGTGGAAAAATTAGAAATGAGTAATAATGATAAAAATAATTTAACAGAAAAAAGTTATATAAATGAAAATAAGTATACTAATCCCATTCATAAAAATGAAGAAAATATAACAGAAATAGAAATATGTGACTCTATTAATAGCGTAAATCAAAATATCACAAATTATGAAGATTCTAATAATAAATCTCTCCAAAATAACATAAGTACAAATATAATAAACAATAAATCCAATATAAATAATGTAAATAATAATATCAATACAGATTCAAATAATAACCTAATTAGTAATATGCATAACACCAACATTTCGTCAAATGCAAATACTTACACTAATATAAACGAAAACTTAAAGAATAATAATTATGTAAATAATTTATATTTGATAAACAAAAATGAAAATATTAGTAATAATATTGATAATGTAAGTAACCAAGAAAAAGAAAATGCTAATGTTAATTACTCATCTTATGAACAAAATAGAAATAATAATTTAGGTAAATCTGCAATTAGCAATAACCATGAAAACAATTTTAACAAAATAAACAAGTGTGATTCTAATGTGGAATGCATAATAGAAGAAACAAGTTGTATGGATAAAAATGAAATTAACAATAAAATATTAAATATTGAAGATAATGTTAGTAATGGTTATGATTGTGTTATTATTAATAATAATTTAAATGAAATCAATAAATTAAATAATATTACAGATGATATAGAAAATAAATCAACAAGTGAAATATTGCAAAACATTCATCTTCCGAATGAAAAAGAAAAATTAGATGAAAAAATAGATGAAGCTCATGTATCGAATGAAAAAATATGTAAGGATAGTAATGTTTCTATATCAATAAATAATGAAGAAAAAAAATCCATTTACCAAATTGAGAATAAAGCATATAGTATTTATTTAAATCAAAAAACAAAAAAAATAAATAAAGATGATCATGAATTAAAAACAGACAATGCAACTCTAAACTGCACAATTAATTGTGAGACATCTTTAAATGGATTAATAAGTTATTCAGAAAACAATAAAGAATTAGTTAATTTAAGTAAAAAAAATTGCCCTTTATCTATAAACGAAAGTTATAACATAGAAGAAAAAGAGGAAAAAAGGAAAAATACTTTAATTAATATATTAAATAATAATTTCAAAGAAGAAATAAAAAGAATAATACAAAGAATAATTGAAAAGAATGAAAAAAATGAAAAAATTGTATTTAATGTTGTGAAACAAATAAATGATGTTAAATATCTTAACATGTTAAAAGATTTATTAAGAGGAAAAAACAGCAACTGTCACAAAAATAATATAAAAGTCTTGAAAGTTCAAAAAAGAAAAGTTTTACAAAAAATTTTTTACCAAAAAAGTAAGCATATCAATTATTTAGAAAAAATATATATCAATATTAATATTTTATTTGTATTTGTTTATATGATGTTACATTAGCATAATCAAAAAATTAATAACTCTTTTAATTCCTTTCCATTATAATTATTATTTGTTTTTTTATTATTTTTTTTAATAGATAAAAAATCAAGAATAGTTACTCTTGAATATGTTCTAAAAACATCCCCTGATTATATTGGAAACAAAAATTGGTAATTTTTTTTTTCATTTTTCATAGTTTATAATTAGTTGTTTTAATATAAATATATATTATTTTAAATAATTTTTGATAATATGAACTATATAATTTAAATATTATATTTCTTTTTTCTTATAGTGTTATAAGATCTGAAGATTGTTTGCTAACAAATGATAAAGAAAAAAGAAACATAGAAAAGATGATAAATGCAAATTTTGAAATAACAGCTACAACTGTATCTTTGGCTACTCCTTCTATTGTTAATTTATTTAAGAATGATGAATATGAGTAAGATTCAAAAAAATAAAATTTAATATTTATTATTTTTTTCATTAATATTATTTTATTATCTTTTACGAAAGATTATTAGATAGTTATTACTGTGATTTATCATGTTTTTATGTTCAAATTAACAACAAGTTTAATGCAATTATAGAATTTCACAAAGACAACAAGGTAATTAAAAAAAAATAAAATCACAATATATATATTATTATTACAAAAATTTACTCTTTTTCACCTTATAGAATAAAGAAAATCCCAATAAAAATTTTAAACTAAATATAAGAGCACAATGCGAAGACTATGACACCTTTTTTGGGAGTTTTATAGAATTCTTAATATAGTATAGAATTTTTCCTTTCTTTTTTATATAAGAAATAATGACTTTTTAAAATTTTATTTAAAATCAATTTTTTATCAAAATTTTTTTTTAAATTTTAAAATTACTAAATTATCCTCTTTTCGTTCTTCCATGATGATATATTTTTTTTTTTTTTAAAATGATAATTTTTAAAATGGAAATTAGTAAAACGGAGTTTTAATTTTTATATTCTGACTAAATAGGCATTTTATTTTGCATTTTTCTTTTTTTTATTTTAATTTACGCATCTATGTCTAAAATAATTTATTTTATATACTAATATGTTAAAAAATATGAATATTTTTGTTTTTTTTTAATATATTAATGTATACAATAATGAACATTAATTTATTTTTTTTTTAATTCATCCTTTGTAAGTTTTTTTTTTAACATTTGCTTAAATTTGTAAAAACTATGTTTTATTGCTTACTAAAACAAATTAGTATAAACATAAACATGCATCACATTAAATATTAAGTTACAATCTCTTTCATTTTTGTTTTTTTTTTTATTTTTGAAATAAATAATAGCAAAAATGCTACAACATTATTATCTTTATATTAAGGTTTATCAATATATTTTTTCTTTACTTATTAAAAGATGAACATTCTTAATACAAATTAATTTTTAAAAATTTACAAATGTTAAAAAAAAAAAAATATTTATAATTATTTTTATTTTTATATATGAAAAGATTTTATATTTACTTTTTTTAAAAATAAACTATATAAAATTTTCCTTTTTAATTTTTCAAATGTATAAATAGCCTTGTTATAATATAAATAAAACTTCCAATATATATATTATTTTTTTTCTGACATGCTATATCCTAATTCTGTTTATTTTTAATTTATCTTAAAAAATGAAAAAAAATTTATATAACAATAACGATTTAATAAAATAAAATATTAATATGAATAAAAATATATATATAATTTCAAATTGCTTTCAATATATTTTATATATATAAAAAAAAGGAATGAACAAAAGGTAATACTGCCAGAGTCATAAGGGCTTATAGGTTTACATGCTGTTTTTTTTTTTTTTTTTTTTTTTTTTTTTTTTATTTTGTGTATGTATTTTTTTAATAAATATCATTTTTAATTTAATTAAAAAAGAAAAATATAATTGATTTATTTAAAATTATTTTTTATTCTATTTAAATTACATATTTCAAATTAAAATTGAATTTTATTTCAAACTTAACATCCTTTAATTTATTTACTTTCATACAAAAATGGTAAATATATTAAATATACTAAAAATATTTTTTTTTATTATATAAAAAATAAAAAAATTATTAAAAATATAATAAGATAAAAATACATAACAAAAATTAGAGAAATTAAATATTTTCATTTGTGTATTTTTTTTTTTTTTTTTTTTTAGGGATCAATAAAAAGTTTCAAATTAAAACAAAAGCTTGGTAAAAAGAAGAGGCAAAATAGGCCAGTGCCTCATTGGTATAGATTAAAGAAAGATACGAAAATAAGGTAATAAATATATATTAAAAAAATGAAGTTCTACAAATATACGTATAATATGATAAATATATATTACCATTAGAGATTAAATGAATTTGTAGTATATTATGTTGCAATTTTTATATTTATACTTATGCGTTTTATATTAAATCTTTGTTTCTTTTTTATATTCTCCATTTTTAGATATAACACAAAAAGGAGACATTGGAGAAGAACTAAATTAGGATTATAAGTATATAATTGTTTTTGATTTTTATCCCTAATAGTTATAAACAAAAACGAAAAATTTAAGTGTGTTAAGAACTTTTTTTCTACATTTTTCCATTGTTTTGTTTTATTATATGTAAAGATATAATATATTAATTTTGAACTACCATTATGCAAATAAAAAATAATTTTTTTAATATAAAGTAGGAAGTAAATAAGAATTAAATTTTATAAAAAAACACTATACTTAATTTTTAATTGCATGAACTAAATACATAAACTTGTAAAATGAAAAACGAATAATATAAAATATTATTATTGAGAACTATAAAATTTAATTATAATTTATACTATGATTTATAGAGAGGGATAAAGAGATAACCAAAAAAAAAAAAAAAAAAATATTTATTATTAGAACAAGTTGGTAACTCTTGCTTCCCCTTTTTTTGATATTTTAATACTTTCCATTTTTCTTTTTAAATTTTAAAAAAAATTTACTTTTTTATTTTAAAAAAATATATTAGTACATTAATATATTTAAAAACTTCTACGAGACATAAAAAAAAAAAAAAAAAAAAAAAAAAATTTAAAAATAATACATGGAACTTAAGAAAATTATGTAATTATTTCTTAAATTTGTGTAATAAAATTTTTTTATGTAACAAGGTATTTTAATAAAAAAGATCGATTAATTATAAAATGTGCAACTAGTATAACATGTTAAACTTTTTTAAAGAGGACAATTTATGAAAAAAAAAAAAAAAAAAAAAAAAAAAAATGTAAGTTTTTAGCACGTTATCTCTTATTTAATTATTTAAGCAGTGATTTTAAAAGCAATATTTTACATTTACTAAATTTTGTAACTTGTAAAATTTATATCTTTTTAATTTAACACATTTTTTTTTGTGTGTGCACAGAATATATAAAAAAAATTCTAATTGTTATATTCAAAATACTAAGAATATATAGTATTTAGATAAATAAAATAAATTATACTATATTGTAAACAAATAATAAAACGCATTTGTCATTTTTATTTATATAAAAAACTTTTATATCTAAATTTTTTCTTTTTATTGATCCTGTCTAAATTTTTTTAAATTATATAATATAAACTATAATTTTTTTTGTATCTCTTTTTTTTTTATATTTCTTAATTTTTTTTTTTTTTTTTTAGCAATATTAAGAATGAAAAATATAAATAAAAGCATTCACCTAGAAAATGATGATTTTTCACTTAATATTAACAATAGTAATGATTTTAACCAAATATTAGATGAAATAAAGTTAAAACAGTTACAATCCGAAAAGGAAAAAACTAGAAAAAATGCTAAATCTAAAATAAAAACGAAGAATGAAGATAAGAATAAAAGTCATAAGAAAGAATTAAAAAAAAATACAATGGAATATAAAGAATTTTTGAGAAAAACTAGAAATGACCATGACAAATATTTACGAAAGTATAAAAGTGAAGAAAAAATAAAAAAAAAAATTTTTGATGATACTCCTATTTTTCCTCATATTAAGTCATTAATTTGGGATCATGAAAATGAAAACAGAATTTCTGAATGTTCATATAATGTGGAAAATACAGAAGACGAAAAATTAAAAAAAAATAATTCCATTAATAAAAATGGCAATTATACCATATACGACATTTACGCAAACACCTTAAAAAAGCTTTCAATACAAGATGAAAATAAGGTTTTAAAAACAAATAAGAAAGGAAATTTATATATTAATGATAAAAAAATTCTAGATAATAGAAAAAATAATTCATCTGAAGGAATAAATAAGAAAAAAAGTATAAATTTAATTAAGACAAATATTTCTAACACATCTTTTGATTCATCACCATATAGTATTATCGAAAGAAATGAAAGTAATAACTCAAAAAAAAAAGAAAGCGTATACGATCAAAAACAAGAAGAAACAAAACAGAAAAAAAGTGATAGACCAAATTACAACCACAGTAATAACAAAAATTATATTGATATGGAAAACTTTAATAATAATTACACCACAAATAACAAATTATATAATGATAATAGCTTAGTAGATAAACATAATATAATCAAAGATAATAATTATAGTAAAGATAATTTCCATGAAGAAAGAATAAAAGGAAAAAAAAAAAGAAGAATGGAAAAAGAACAAGAATTGAAAGAGGATGAATATGAATATGAAAATGAAAATGAAAATGAAGATGAAGATAATGGGAAAAATAAAGAAAAAGATCAAGATGACAGTGAAGACTACTATATAGAGGAAGAAAATAGTTATGAAAACTCAATAAAAATGGAAAAGAATAATAAAAATAACATGAATGAATCATCATCCTTAAAAAGTGAATGTTTCAGATCTATAGGAAAAGAAGACTCAAAAAAAAAACAAAAAATGTATAAAGAAAATAGTTGCAAATATAATGAAATTAAAAAGGAAAATGATTATTTAAAAACTCCATTTATTTTGTCCATTGAATGTCTAGATGAAAATGAAAAACATATAGTTAAAAAAAACGAAATAAAAAACAAAAATATTGAAATTATGAATTTAAATAATAATAACGATACTCTAAATAAATATGATGGAGATACATACTATAAAAGTAATTCATTCCTAACACCAGTAAAAAATTCACCCGATAATAACATACATTATTCATTAAATGATCGAACACATAAAAAAAAAATGCAAAATGGGAAACAAGGAATAAATTACTCAAAATCAGAAGTAACTACAACTGATTCGGAATATTCACTTAATGAAAATTTGAATATTTCATATGAAAATTTTAAAGCTAAAAATAAAAATAAAATGTTTTCTATGGTAGATAATGGAAAAAATAAAAAGGATTTATTAAAAATTATAAACAGTAAAAATATTTTAAATATAAGAAAAATATTAAGAATTATGAGAGAACTTTATATTGGATTTATTGGTTTACAATTAATTTATTTTATAACATATATTTTATTTGGTAATAACAGCGTTTATTTAATCCAAATTATTTCGATATCTTGCACATTTTTTTCACTTATGGATGCTAATTACCACGGTTATTTATTAAATGGATTTATTGACATATGTATAGCTATTTTTTTAAACGTGGCTATTCTACAAAATATATCCGGATTTAAAAGCTTACAAAATGATAATGTGCTAAAAAATATAGCCATATCAAATGTAGTTCTACTCTATATGTTTTCTATTTTTTCATTCTTAAACAGCTATTTTATATTTAAATTGCATTCTTTGGAAAAAAAAAGTATTAAAAACATTATAAGAAACATTGAGTTAAGAAAAGAAAAAGATGTTAAAATAGCTATATAAATTTTCACATGAACTGTGCAGGTGTATTTTTTAAAATGCTTTTTTTTTTTTTTATTATTGGTAATACAAATGTTTCAATAAAGAAAAAATAAAATAAAATGAAAAATATTTTAAACGATATATCCCTTTATAAGCATGACTAATTAAAAATATTTATACATTTTTTAATGTGTTTTTAAATTATTTCCTCATTAAAAGCTGCAAATATAAATTTTGTAATTTTTTTTTTTTTTTTTTTTTTTTTTTTTTTTTTTTTTTTTTTTGTAATATGTAATAATTTTTATCTTTATATATTATACGATGTGATCAATTTTTATTAATAAATTGCACTCACTAGGACAATGGATTATTGTATATACAATTTAACAAAAATAAAATAATTTCCTTGAATATTTATTTTTAGAGTATGCATTTATTTTTTAATTTCTAGATATTTCATAACCTGACTTTACAAATAATGTATTAAAAATTTTCATTTTATAATTATTATTCCTGTTTTATTAATAATTGTACTTAAAAAAAAAAAATGTATAAAATAAAACAATAAAATGCAATGAAATTAAAAAGTGCATAGAATTTTTTATATCTATTTTTTAATTATATTAAAAATAGAAATTAAAAGCATATTTGTATAAGAAATCATAAATGATAAATATAAAGCTTAATACTTTTTTTTTTACCAATATAAAAAAAGAAATGTTACAAAATTGTGTATTTATTTTTACGGATATATAATATATACAGTACCTAACTTGCTTATATAAAATTAAAAATGTTCACTTACACATTATTTTATACTTTTTTTTTCTTTTTTGTTGCAATATTTAATAAAATTTTTAATTTTATACATAAATAAAAAATAAAGAAATATACTTAAAATGAAATGCGTATTTTAATTATTTTTTTTATAAATTTTATTTGTGATTTTTTTTTTTTTGTCTAATAACAAAAATATAAGTAGACCTAAAGAAATATAAATAAAATGTAACAAAATTAACTTCAATAAAAGTTATAACTTTAGCTAGAAATTTTTATTTATATGACACTTAGTGTGCAAAAAAAAAAAAAAAAAAAAAGAAAATTCTATATTGTTTTTCTATACGAAAATATTAATATATATATATATATATATACCAGTAAGAAAATTTTTGTTCAAAACATAATTAACTTTTTAAAAAAGAAATTTAAAACTACAATTAAAAAAAAAAATTTATAAAAATAAATTTTATTTATGAAACATTATGATTATATTTTTTTGAAAAATTATTTTAAAATTTTTTTTTGTTTTTTCGTTAATATGTTCCAATCAAATCATTTAAAATTTCCTTTAGTTCTAAACTTTAAATAACTAAAAAAATATAGTTGTCTAATTTAATTTATTTATTACTTCTATGTAGATAAATACTTATATGTATTTTTATTTTAAAATTATATTGGAACTTTTTATTAAAATGTAAAAAAAAAAAAAAAATTATTAATTAAAAAGAATATACAATTTATTTTTATGGCATAGTTTAAAAAGTATTAAAACTAAATAATTTAAGTTCTTCAATTTATATCATAATAATATATAATATTTAAATAACATTAAAAATTATTTGCACAAAATTATAGAAAGAATGAAGAAAGAAAATAATTACATAAAAGACGATGATAATTTCCAAGTTTTAATTAAACAAATATGTAATGAATTAAAGAAGAGAGATAAGAACAAAAATGGTTTAATGCTGTATAATTCTTTCATTGAGGTGATGGATATGTTTCAAATAGAATATGGTAGCCACATTATAGATTATTTGATGAAACACTGTTCTGTAACTGAAGATGGTTTTGTAAACTATAAAAATTTATTGCTTATTCATGACCCTTCAAAAACAGTTAGAAATAACTCCGAATGTATAGCAGAGTCTATCAATCCTAAATTTATACATGTACAAGATAAATGTGAAGATATTGATAAATCTATGCAAAAAAAAAATGAAATCATAAGAAAACTATACGCCCAGTGGGATAAATGCTTATTAAAAGATGAAGAGTTTAAGAATAAATTAATAGAGGCAAATATTGATATAACTCCAGAATTTGAAAGGGCCTTATACTTATATGGCCCTAGTAGATCACTAAGTTTTGCGAATGTAATGAAAACATTATACATAAATAATTGTAGAAATAGAAAGAATAGAAACAATTTTATAAACAAAATAAAAGATGAAAAATGGCGCAAATTAAATGTTGATGAAAATACACAATGTTTTCAAGAGCCTAACCGAAATCCCATAGCATGGGAAGAACCAAATATTATAGATGCAGATAATTTAATCGAAAATGTTGAAGTAATTTCAAAGTATTTAAATGGGGAAGAAAATTTTAACTTAAACAAAGAAATAATATCAAAAGATTTTTTTAATAATACAGTAAAAAATTTAATAAAAAACTATATTGCTAATAAAATTTCAGAAAAAGAATTTTATTTATATTTAAGTAAACTAAATATATCAATTACGCAAGAATTAAATAATTTAATTAAGTATCATGAGTCTGATAGTAATGGAAAATTCAAAGATTTTGCTACAATAATACACAGATGTATACCAAGAAATATAACACATAATTTACAAACAAATGTTGAATCAGCAGAAGTTGGAAGGAATAATAAACATACAAATTTAAATTTTACTTTTAATAATTTCCATAGTAACAATTTATCTTCCGATAATTTTAATGATAATAAATGAAATAATTGATACATGATTATTGACTTATTCAAATTTAAGGAGTTTCTAGATGTGATGCAATAAAATGTGAAATGTATAGTTTTTATAAAGCTATAAATTAGGTATTTTTCATCATGTATAATTCTCTGTCTCAAACCTAAGACGACATAGGCTATTGCATTTTTCCTAAATATGTAAAAATAAAATAAAAATATTCATTAAAAATATGCAATTAAATTATAAAATTTTTCAAAATCACATAATAAATATACTAGTATATTCACAAAATGTTCTCATTTATTTAACACTAGTAGAACTATTAAATTCTGTGTCAGATTATATCAAATTATTCCATGGATACTTTTTAGTTAAATAATAAAATAAAAAAATATATAAATTTTTCTATTTAAAAAATAAAAAAATAATTACTACGAATAAACATAGAAATAATTTAGCCACTTTTTTTTTTTTTTTTGTCCTAAAGCAATGTGGATATTACATGTATAAAAACCTTTTTTTCTTGCTTTAGATTTTGTTTCATATTTTTTTCTATTTTTGTTAACAAGAATTATCTTTTATTTTATTTTATTTTATTTTTTTTTTTTTTTTTTTGTTCTAAAGCAATGTGGATATTACATGCATAAAAGCCTTTTTTTCTTGCTTTAGATTTTGTTTCACACTTTTTTCTATTTTTGTTAACAAGAATTATCTTTTATTTTATTTTATTTTTTTTTTATTTTTTTTTTTTTTTTTGCTTATATATTGATAGAAATTCGATTAACGTAAGTATATGCTTACTTTCACCCTTTTTTATCCTTTTAATTAAATTACTTCTATAAGCATAATTTACATTTTGTAATAAATATGAGAAAATCATAGGATTATATAAAATGTGAATTTTCCTTCTTCATAAAAAAGGGAAATTTAAAATAATGAAAAATATGAATTATCTTTATTTATATTTATAAAAACTAAAAATTAAATTAATAAGAGAATAATTCATCTATAATATTATATGTGGTTACAACTTTTTAAAAGATAGATAATTTAATAAAAATTCCATAAATTCATATGAAATTGTTACGAAAAATAAAATTTTAAATTATTGTAATCGTATTTCTCCATCAAAAAAAAACATTTATAAAATTATGTTACTTAAGAATTATACTTTCTTTTAAATAAATGTACAATTCTTTATATGGTAGTACCTCTAAAAATAAATATTTAGATAAAAAATTGTTGTCTTTAAAAAATAAAAAGAAACTTGTCGATTTTTATATAAATAATTATTTAAATTTGAATTTTCGTATAATGTGTATTATTTATTTAGCAAAAATTTGGCACATTTTAAAAAATGAGAATGAAAAATTAGACAATAATAAATATTATTCGGATAAATACCTCTGAAATAAATATTATCTCTTTAACAATTTTACATTCATATAAAGTATCTATGTTTAATAAGAAACATATCTCTAAATTTTTCAAGTAACGAAATATCTGTTGTTATCCTTTTATTTTATTTTTATGCCAATTTTTGCTTTTTTACTAAAAAAAAAAAATTAAATACCATATATAATGAAAAATTTTTTAAATTTACCTTCAATATTTTAGCGGTATATATACATTATAAAATAAAAAAATTAAAAAACATTAGAAAATTAATTCTTCAAATTATGAATATATATATTTTACTTTTATAGAATTATAAGAGTTTTCCGTTTTTTAATTATTTTAAATTTATATTTATGAACCAAGGCAATATTTATATATTATAAAAAATAAAAATTATGAAAAGAGCAAAACTAATTTATGCACATGTTTTCTCTAAAAATATATTACATTTATTTCAATTATGCTTACGATTTTTTTAAACTTATGATAAATTTTTAATTTTCATTAAATTATAATAGAATTTTCCTATAAAATAAATTGGAAATATGAAACATTTAAATTATTAAAATAATTTAAACTGAATATTTTTCAAAAACGTGACATTAATTTTTTTAAGAAAATTACTAAAGGAACCATGGAGAAAACCATACTCATTATTGTTATTAATTTTTACAAAAAAATAAATTTCTTTAACAATCTCGTATAAAATTTATTTAAATTTTTCTCTTTCATAATTTATGTTTATATAAGAATAATATAATTTTTTTTTTTTTATTATAATATATATATAGACATAAGTAAAATTGTTCATACAAATATGTAATAAGATTCTACATTTGAAATTAAAGTAAAATATATATAGTATACTCTATAAAAAATGAATAAACTTGATTTTTTCTAAAATTGCATAAAAATTTATGAAATATATAATAAAAATGGAAAGCGTACAAAGAAGGTTTAATATTTTGCAATGCTATATTAATATGTAGTTCCTTAGGTAATAAGGATAAATAAAAAATTATTTTATTTATATTTTAATATATAAAAAAAATAAATAAATGTGACTTGAGTAAAAAAATTAATTTTTTACTCTTTTTTTTTATTACTCAGTATAATTATAAATTATCCTGGATTTTTGTTTTTTTATACCTATATAAATTTGGTGGTAACCTTTTTAATTTTTTACATTTCTAAATTTATTTAATAATTTTATATAATTTTAAAAAATTAATGAAAATATAAATTCTATAAAAAAATTTTGTGGAAATATTTATTTTCCTACACAACTTACAAAATTCCCATTTTAATTGGAACTTAAAAATAGTCGTTTTGAATGATCATAAGAAATTTAAAACTTTTTATTTTAAATTACAGAAATACATATTTCATTTTCTTTTATTAATTTCTACGTACGCAATAAATTAAGAAAGTAAATATCATTAATCTAAGAATAATAAGGATTTCCATAATTTATATGGCAAATTAATATTTTTAATATTTAATTTACATTATAGAAATTTTAATTAGGATATTCAAGATCAAATATTTATTGATTTTTTCATCATTTTTAAGACCTTTATGTTCTATATTTATATATTTTTATATTTATCTTTAAATTTTAAAATATATATTTCAATTGAATAATATATTTTATAATATAAAATACAAATTACAAAAAGTATATATTTTTTTTCTTTTATAGAACGTAATTAATAATTTAGACAACAAAATTTCATAAACATTTAAGATAAAATTTAGATAAACATTATCTTATTTAAGGATTTATTTGTTTTTTTTTATTGCATATATCATATTTATCATTTTTTAAATTGGCGCATTTTTTCATTTTAATAATTTAATATTTCTTATTATAACATATAAATGACTATTATAATGTGTAGAATTATTCTCAGTTCTTTATTCATTTGAAACATGATTCACAATTTTATTTAATCAATATGTTCAACGTTATATTAAAATTTTTATTTAATTTTATTTTCTTTAAAAAAAAGTTATTACGTAATAATGCATTTCTTTTAGATATTACATTCGTAAAAGTCATAAGGATTATAATAACTATGATGCTTTTTATGCAAATAAAATTTAGAGAAGATTCTCTGCGTGAAAAAATATAGAAATTTTATATAAAATCTTAACAAAATAAATATTTATAAAATTATATTTTTTAGATTACGAAATGCATAATATAGGTTATATTAGGTTTTCTAAAAATCTAGTATATTCCTAAAAAGTCTTGTATAAATAAAAAGCATTTTAAACCATTAAATTTCATAGGAGTTTTATATTACTCAAATATAATCATCCTTTACAGCTAGATATAATTTTTTTAAGAATCATTTCAAAAAGGAAATATATTATAAAAAAATTATTTAAAGATAGCAGTATTAAAAATTTTGTAAATTTTTGCATCTTTTTAATCTAAATGTGTTTTAAGAAAAGGTGTCATTAAATATATAAGTTTTAATTTATTTAGTAAAAATGTGAAAGTGAAACTTTATAAAAAATGGTATGCTAGAAGCATCCTTAATAAAATGAAAAAACAAACATTTTAACTATCTCTACAACTTCTGGTGAAGTACTTTTATTAATAGAAATATCGATATTTTAGTTTTAAATTATTTTTTATTTTGAATATTATACTACAATTTTATGTATAAAATTTTAACTGTATTTAATTATTTTTTTTATATACAAAAAATTTAAAGATTAATCATATGTTTAAGAACAATTTATATTTACTACTAAGAGTTAGGATTATTTATTGTTTTTTTACATTTACCTTTAATACGTTAAAATTGAACTACAAAGTTAAATGATTATTACAAGTCTTTTTATAAAAAAATGACAAAATAATTTTTCTTTTAAATAGTATTCCAAATATTTAATATTCTTAATATAAATTATTGGATTCATACTTTAGAAAATACTTAAAAAGATATGATCATCAAATAAATTTACTTTATAAATTTTTATAATTTTTTTTTTTTTAAATAATCATTTTCTTTAGGTTTTTGTATATTCTCCAATATACAAACAGGACATATAAGGAAAATTGAGACTATAATAAATATTTAGGAAAAATCCATTTTAACATAATTATATTAAGAATGGGTATATACAATAATAAAAATAAAAAGCAAAACCATGAGAATAAAAAATAATAACTAATGTAAATTAAATATATAATGTTTAAATAAATAGAAATGTTAACAAAAAATATGATAATTGAAATAATATTAGAATTTAAAAAGGAAAAAATAACGAATAAGCTACAGATAATATAATTTATTCATTTATTTTAAAATAGATTAAATAAATTCAAAGGTTTAGAAAAATTAAGGGAAAAAAATATTAGAAATGTATTATTAAATAAAAATATATATATAATTATTATTCTTAAAAACTACTCATATTATAATTAAGTTTATTCATAATTTTCATATTATATTGTATTATTTAAAAATTATATAATAAAAAAAAAACAAAAAATTTCTTCAATAATTTTAATATTCAAATTTATCTTAAATATTAAATTATTATTTAAAAATATTATACATTTTAAAAATAATTATTTATCAATTTTTTTTAATAATAAAAAAGGTATT